TCCATTCAGAGCATCACAGGTAATATATAAGTTCAGTTTTATTACCATCTTAAATTATTGTACTTTGTACATTAATGGAGGAAAATGACCTGATCAGTTATTTTAGATATTGAGTTTATTGCAGTTTGAAGCCCTTTTTGTCTCAAATAGGGCAAACTAAATAACAAATAACTCCACTTTCCTTGTCACACTCTAAAGCCGAAACTGGCTGAGGATAGAAGGCATTTATATCACCTCACAAGATTAGTGAGAAAGCAAATATAAACTCTGATTCCAGGAACAGTTATCATCATAAATCCTTCTCTCCCACATCTGCTTGGACTTGGGCGTACAATAATTCATTGTAGCCGGTAGATTTTTTGGGGGATATATTTGGATTCTCTGCAAAAGAGACTGACTAAACATAAAGAGAGTGGTAAAAGTTTGCGTCACCCTCGAGCTATTCTGAGATTCAGAACGCCTGGCCTTTTTCATCTCAGTGTTACCGAACCTGCATCAGTATGTCACTGTCTCCCCAGCTAAACAAAATTAGTAGGTTTGATTGATCAAGGTTTATACGAGAGCAGGGATTTGATTTCAAACGGCGATGGAAGAAATGTATAGATGCAGGCACAGAAAGAGTGCAGAGGGAAGGGAGGGGTGAGGGAAAGAAGGAGAAGAAGAAAAAGACAGAGCAGCTGGATTGCCATGTAAATAGCTGTGCAGATAGGTAGGTTTGGGCTCGGTGCCAGAAGGCTCTACAAAAGGCTTCTAACATCTGTTTGAGGGTAGATTCCTGCTCTGTGTTGTAGTAAGAATAATAGTCCAGCTCTGAGGGCCCGTTCCCTCATCAGACGGATCATGATCACGCATATACACCCTCTAACATCAGACCGCAGCCCTGCACAGCTGAGAAAAAGTCAGGCCGTCCTTATCGTGGCTACGCCAGTCAGTCAGCTTAGCTGCAGGGATGGACAGGAGGAAGATCACCGGCATGTCAACCCGTTAAGGAAAAAAAAACAGACTAACTGGTGAAAGTCCTCATCCAAAACCACAGCCTGTGTGCTCTCATAGATGTTCATGCTCTCCACAAGTGTTTTCTGCAGTGATTGAGTCAATGAAGGGGGGAAAAAGCTTAAAAACCATGAAAGTAGAAAGTTTCAACCATGAAATACAGCTTTTACTGTTCCAGTCAGCTGTCCGATGAGAGGAGCAAAACCACAAGTTTGGAGTACGGATAATTAACTGCTAAACCAAAATGTTGGAGACAAAGTTGAAATATTCCTACCACGGTTTTCCCTTTAAGTAGAAAAAGAAAACATAACAGGACATCTCTGGTGGTGTCATGACAAGAATCTTTTTTTTTTTCTCTCTCCCATGAACATATGCAAGCAATTTGTACAACAAATGTTGGTTTTAGACCGTGTTCCTTGCATACTAGTGGCTTCTCAAAACCTGGAGGGCTCCATTCGTTAGTGCTTGAAAGCAAAGCAAACAAATTAATTAACACTATCTTTACATGGGGTGGCCAAGGAAAGCAGGCGCTGAAATGTTACACCATTACCTAAATTCGCATGCATCTGTCTGAGTCTCCCCCCACCCCCCCCCACCCCTGCCCCAACGCACACAGCGCCCTTGAACAAGGCCGGAGGACCACCTGCGTGAAAGAGGAGACCCTCTCTGTTATGTCTCTGCTAGGGAATGAAATAACATGGAATCCAGCTCTGCAAATAACTCACAGCGAAGATCATTTTCCACATGCTGCTTGACAAAAGGTAAAATAAGAACAGATGATATCCTCCCTCTCTCTGGGAGTTTGCGGCTCTGCTCTGCAGCAAACGCTCTCTACACGCTGTCGTGAGGCTCTGCTAGCGGGCTGTCCGAGGGGGGTCTGACCCCTTTAGTGGACTTTTTAACCTGGGGGGGGGTAAGTGCTGATTCTGAGTCAGCCGGTTTTTTTTTTCTTCTTTTTCTGTCTCTTTCAGCTTAGGTTGAGAGTGGTTCCAGGAATCTGATACCAGATCAGATGATCATCAACCAACAGGAGAGGCAGGAGGTTCTTCTTCTAAAGAGAGGATGTAAATTATTCTGCTATAGCCAGTAAGGAGATCGGGCATTCTTGGAATCTGGGAACGTTTTTTTTTTTGTTTTTTTTAAAGATCATAAAAAAAGGCAAGTGGCAAAGCCAGCTGATAAATATGCAGCACCCCACCACAGGCATTCCTGCACAATGCATTCAGCATTATGGGTCTGCTCCTTGAGGATGTACAACAGAAGTCACGGGGGAATGAAGAGTTTTGTTTTCAGGAAATCAATTGAACACTAATGTTATGATTGAAGCTGCTTTCCAGCTGCTGCTCCACATTAACTGGGCAGAAATGAGGGGTGCCTCTGTTCCCAACTATTGAGCAGAGAGTTTCCCAAATCCCAGTTCCTGAAGACGTTTTTTCAACTCAACAATGACTCTGCAACATATAGTTTAGCCCCCCCTTGTTTGCTTCATCATTCAATCTAAATCAGTCTATACTGGCTTTATTTGTCCAACTGGAACTTTATTCACTCCCTCTGAAGTGGACACGTGAAGTTTTTCTTCATTTCTATATCCTCTGCAGGTTCTCAGCATATGGGAACATTTTAGCTCAGGATTTCGTTTCTTTTTTTATCTGCAGCCATAAATCTGCCATGTCAACTATAAAATATGACTGACCAGCAACAGATGTAGCTCTAATAGCTACCAAGATAACAAAGAAATCAAAATTTACCACCATGAGATCTTTATTCCGGTGATGGATTTCAGTTGTGTGTTGAACGGATGGACAGTGAGCAAAAGTCAGAATGAAGAAAGGAAGACAGGGTGTTTCCCGTACATTTACTGTTACTCTGTTTCTCTTGCTCAATCTCTTTCTTCACCCCTTCTCTTTTTCCCTTTAATCCTTCCACTCTTTAGCTGAGACGAATCCTCCTTTCATCCTCCTCGGCAGCGAGGGCCCCGGTGTCTCTGCGCACAAAGCCTGACCATCAGTGACTCCTCGTCAACCCCTTGGCCAATTCATCAAGCGGAGGCCCATGGGTATTCATCACCCCCACCACCTTTCATATCCAGCACCAGCTGAAAGCCACCGTCCCTCCTCTGACTTCAATGCAGCCGTGACACACCCACAAGATTTATAGCGGCATAATTAGTAGCAGTGAAAAAGGCCTGCTTTAGAAGGTCCATCATAGTGTATTCCACTCTGAGGGACTCTCAAAGCCACCAACATTTGCTTTAAAATGGATTGCGCCACTACCACAAAAGTTGATAAATTAGCCCCAAACAAGAAGTCAAGAAATGTATATAAAGCCTGACAGTGACATCCAAACAATCACACACACTTAAACACACTATTTGTCACCATTCACTGGGAATGAAACACTGTCATAAATCCCAGTTCTCTACAGGGAGGCAGCGGCGGCGTGCGATGAGCAGCTCTGAGGTGAGAACTCCCCCTCAGGACGGGGGTTTCGAAAAAACAGCTTGAAGGAGGTCTACAACAACACGCCTAATAGTTAAACGCTGTTATTGATGTAATCACGCCCTCATCCCACTTCCACCCAACCTGCTGTCACTGATATCTCAGGAACAGTGAACTAATTAAAACACTCTTGGAGTTTGTTTTCATTTCCATCTTCACACAGAAATAAAGTCCTCACTAAAACAGCTGTGTTTTTCTTTTCTTTTCTTTTTTTCCCCCCTCCTCCTCCTGTACAGCCACAAGTTGGGACCCGTTCTCCCATTGTGAAGAGAAGAAGTGCAAAAATCCCCAATCAGTCATAAATTATTACCCGGTAGTGCTGCTGTGGGTTCCTCTGGCGTCTGTTTAGTGTTCAGATGGCACAGATCAAATAATATACTTTCACTTCACAGGTTTTATTCCACAGCTGCTGTTGTTTAATACGTTTCTGATTTTTTTTGTCTACGTCTAAATAACAGAAGATAAGGTGAATTTGGCATTATTACCTTTGAAACCTGCCACTTTTGGTGTCACACATTTCTATACACTTTTGAGTACATTCATTTCCTGATGCTCATAGAAGCATATTGATATGTTTGTGTAGCCCCAACTAGACCCAAGACTTTATCTTTATCGTTCATTTCTCTCAGTATGAGGTGACTTCTTCTAGTCTCCTGCTTTATGGGACTACTCTCTCGTCTGGATTTTGCCAAATGGTGCACTAATGTCAGTGAAAACATTTATGTTTGCAGAGTTTAGAACGCTTCCCTCCATCTGTAAGCTTCAGTCTCACATATATTCAGCATTTCGATGTTTCTTTTGCTGGTGCTCGCGGCGAACGCTCCGCAGAGGGGTAAGGAAGCACCTGCTTCCAGCGAGGAGGTGGAGAAACGCTTTCACGACAAGTTCCAACAGCAGTGGTTGGCCCTGAATCCCGTGCAGGAGGCTGGGTTAGTCTGCGGGTGCACAGGTTATTTCGATATTCTTGTTGGGCAAACTGCTGCTCTGCGGTTTTCCTTTCTCCTCTATAACCGGACTCTGTGGTGTGATCCCCCCCCCCCCCCCACCCCCCCCAAAAAAACTCCAGCCAGTGCGCAGAATGGATCGCTTTTGCGGTAAAAGTGATTACAATTGAGCTTCAGGATTCTCGGTTTTGTGTCAGCTGCCGGGCGTTTTTCTGACAATGCCGGGGTTGACTTTTGCGTGCGCGCCGCAACCTGTCGCCAGAGTGTCCAGCCTCACACCGCAGACCCGCGGAGCCCACACACCTCTGGACCCCGAGCTGCGTGATCGGAAGATATATTCACCCCTCTGAGAGAGCGGAGACTTAAACTCGTAGCGAGCTGCAAAAAAAAAAAAAAAAAAAAAAAAAAAGTCGGTCGTAAAAAGTTGGACTGAAAGCTCCCATCAAGTAAAGCAAACTGATGCGCGTAAGAAGGGATGCCAGCCAGGCGTGGCTTGTGTCTGAATATCCAATGTGAGAATGCCTGGGGAGTATGTATATAATAGAGTCTTTCCATTTGATAAACACAGATATCAAACTCATGATTACTGCAAAGGACTATCAATAAACTGAGAGGAGTCCACTGACTTTTGGAAGAGCTCGGTGGGCTGGGGACGCGAGTTTTTTTGTGTGTCTTTTTTTTTTTTTGTTGCGTGCATGGACCGGACTTTGTGTCAACTTTTCTCCCTCGGTAACTCACTTTATACGCATCCCAAATGCCTTCGCTCAATTTGACAGCTGTGCACACAATGGCAGAGGTCGGGAGCTTTCTGGGGACGCTCGACTTGGATTTACAGAGCTTTCCTGCTCTGGGGAGTATACCCCTGCCAGATTCCCCGGTGGGGCTGAGCGAGCGGCTGGGCCAGATTGAAGGCAGGCTGCAGCGGGGGTCGCCCACGGATTTTGGGCACCTCAAAGGCATCCTGAGGCGGCGGCAGCTCTACTGCAGGACCGGCTTCCAGCTGGAGATATTCCCCAACGGCACCGTGCACGGGACTAGACAGGACCACAGCAGATTTGGTGAGCTTTTTTTATTTTATTTTTTTTGTTTCTTTAGTTTTTGTGCAATTGCTGTGGGAGATTTTTCCTGAATTTAATTAAAAAATTTTTAAAAAATTGTAGTTTGAACACACTTTATTTTCTATTCTTAATTAATCTCGGACATTTCGGACAGAGTTTAAACGAAAGTGGTTGAACAAGGGTCTGATTTTAGCAAGAGGAGCGGGCAGCAGAACTCTATTCAACACAAAAATGTAATGAATGTGGGGAATTCGTGAGGTTTTGCAAAACGTGCGTGAATAAAGCTCATATCTGCTGCGAGACACAGAAGGTTTGGGTCAAATGGCCGAAAATGATCAGCGTTTCTCCCTCCGCATATCCGGGGAGCTCCCGCACCTTTCGCCGGCAATCCCCTCTCTGCGCGCGCGGGGCACAGGTGTCTTCATCCCGCCGCTAACGAGCCGCGCGTGCGCGTTTGGGGGGCCTAGGTAACGAGCTCGCGCCAACGCCAGCGCCCGTCTGAAACCGTTCTAGAATGAATACGGTGTTGGTGTTGTTGTTGTTGTTGTTTTTTACTGTGGTCGTGTCACCGGTGGAAAAAAAGGCTCCGTCTCGTTGGCGAACGAAAGCCAAACGCAGAGGTCAGAGGTCAGACTAGCGCCCTGCCCCCGTGAGCCTTCACAGGTGCAGGCCGGCGGGTTCGAGCCCGGAAAAGAACCATAACAACAAAAACTGTAGTATTCAGATATGATTTTAGTCTTCATGCATCGGCCCAAACCACGTCGGTTCACAGGGGATGGGTGGTCCTGATTGTCTCTGGCTTCACTTAGCTTAAAACATTCAAGGTCTTTGTCAGAGCGGCAAGCAAGATGTGGCTTTGATTAGAGGGATATGATACATGCTCTTCACTCCACACACACACACAAAATAAAAATTAGAGGGATCTTCTCCACCATCTGATGGAGTCGGAGTGGTGGGGACCAGGTGGCTGCAAGCTGGCCTCCCCGTGTCAGTGCAAGCAGCTGGATCCTCTCTGACTAACCTCTGCATCACAACAGCCAGTGGCTTTTAATTTTACCAGTTGTTTCCCTGCCTTTGAAGTAGATGCTCGCTCGGCTGTAGCTTCCTGTAAGTCAGAAAACAAGCTACCCACATCTCCGCTTCATTAAAGTGTCCTCTCAAGCTGTGTTAGTAACCAGACGGGAACTCCCAGACTTTATGGACAACCTCAAGCCATTATGATAGAGCAGAATGATTAATGCCGCTCATAGGTGGGAGTAAAAGGGCTGCTGCAGTTGGTGGCAGAAAGTTAACTTTGCTGGAGTTTGAAAAGCCATTTTCATCGTGCAGTACCATGAAGTCGGCGCCCTGTCTCCCATGATGGTTTTTTTCCCCACCTGATAATGAACACATTTTAAGCGCAAAATAAAATGCTACGCCGAAAATAACCGAGGTTAGGTCACGTCTAAATAGAGGCCACCTGGACCGAAGGGCTGGCTGTTTCCTCGGGGGTGTTTACAGTGCGTCTGCGGGCTTCTCTAATCAGAATGTGTGTGTGTGTGTGTGTGTGTGTCTGACCTCAGGTATCCTGGAGCTCATCAGCGTGGCAGTGGGTCTGGTCAGCATCAGAGGGGTGGATGCTGGACTTTACCTGGGCATGAATGAAAAAGGAGAGCTCTACGGGTCGGTGAGTCAAAAGAAAAAAATAAAGGAGAAAAAAACTCTTTTCCTTTTCAGTCTTATCCCCAAAATGCAGGTCACGCCTGTCACTCACATCTTACTTTCCAGAAAATGAAGTTTCCCCGTGTTACGTTCACTGTTTTTACAGAATGAGGCAGAATTGGGTGATAAGAAGTGTTTGTTATGGAGGTTCTCATGTGTGGCAGGTGGGAAAACCACAGCGAGACTAAACAAGAGTGCATTTCTTACTCTCTATGCTTGCTTTATATCTGTAGGGATTCAAGTAAAAGCAACTTTCAGACAGAAAGCCAACGTCATTTTGTTTGGAGATAAGAGGAGACATTCAGAAATGTTCACTAAAGGGGTTGTTGGAGTCCCTTTGTATGTGAGCTGTGGATGACGATGCTTATGGTCATGTCTCTCTGTGCACTGGAGTTTGGACCTCAGTGCTGTATGTGTGTGTTGTCTCTAAGTCTTGGCTGACTTTTCTCACACGTGTTCAGTACCTGGAGACAGATAGATAGGAAAGGGAAGCGATAAAGACAATGAAGGGGAAGTATGTGAGGGCAGGTCTGTATCGGGTGTCCTGGGGCATTACCTGAGGGCCCCTTGGAGGGCTCAGGCTGGGAACATTTCAAACAGAGGCAACTTTTAGGCAGGCCATTATGTTAAAAGTGCAGATATAGTTACGGCACGCTATCAGTCTGGCATCCTGGAGCTTTGACCCTGAGATGAGGGGGGTGGTGGATGGGGGGAGGCGGTGAGGGGGCTGTTGGGGAGGGAGGGGTAATTGCACACCTGACTGAGTCACCTGACTGACAGTGGGAGCCATGTGGACATGTCTGTCTGAATCCGAGAGGCCAGGAGGTGGAGAAGGGGGAGGAAAACAGGTAGAGGGGCTGCTTCCGTCCCACAACCACTAGACCTTGACAGGCTTTTGATCCGATGAGGCTGTGTGTGTGTGTGTGTGTGTTTTTTAGGATGGAGCTGGCCCAGTCATGTGCCCCCTGGGCTCTGTTTACAGACAACAGCTTCCCCACACAGCCGCAGCCAAGCGGAGCCTGACAGCCAATCATCAGAACCGCTGCCGGAATCTAACAAGGCGCTCTTGCACAAACACTTGATAGAGGTGTTAAGTGTCTCCGAGGTGGAGACTGACGCGTACAAACGTTTATCTTGTGTGGCTGTTCAAAAAAATATGTGATGAAGTGGGAGGACAGAGGACAGCAGTTTGCGTTTTGCTCTCAGAGAGACGAGCTTTAGTCTGGCTGGATTTGGTCCCTCTCACTCAGCGTCTTTGCGGGAGGCCAGAAACACGCACTCTGACCCCTTAGACCGTCCGAAGGTTCGGGGGCTCCTCCGTTAGGCCGAGTTAAACCGCTGGACGCCTGCAGGGTGCGTTGCATCACAGGGAGGGAAACAATTCTTCATGCACAACAAGAGGTCAGCGGGTCTGGTCTGAGGAGGGAGTGTGGGGCGTTAAGCGAAAAGCCGCATGTAATGACTTCCCCTTCTTCTGTCGTAATGAGCACCTGCCCGAGTGCGTTTCTGCCGCTTCATTTCAGCTTTTCATTACAGTGTGAAACAGTTAATGACAGACATAAACTCATCAGGTGGAGTGGAAGCCGCACGCACTTCAGACTTGGCTCCATTTTGTCATTCTCATCCTGCTGCTGCTTTCCTTTCTTTTCATGGACCGTGTTGTTTTGTGTTCCGCAGAAGAAGCTGACCCAAGAATGCGTGTTCAGGGAGCAGTTTGAGGAGAACTGGTACAACACTTACGCTTCAACTCTGTACAAGCACACGGACACGGGACGCTTCTACTACGTGGCTTTAAACAAGGACGGCTCGCCCAGGGAGGGCGGCAGGACTAAAAAGCATCAAAAGCTCACCCACTTTTTACCCAGGCCGGTGGAGATCGATAAGATCCCTCAGGAGTACCGGGACGTCTTCAATTACAGGTGACCAGTGCTGACACTGGGAGAACTGGCTACACTCGGGGCGACAGAACCAAATGAAGAGGAGCGGCCGGAGCAGGGAGGTGCTGCGGAGCACCGGGAACCCTCAGCCCCCCTCCAGGTCACCGCCTGTGCACATGTGACCGTAACATAAACAGTTTAGCTTGTTCCTGGATGTGTATAATTTACTTTGGACTTGTGGCCTCAGCTGGGGGGCGGGGGGGGTATGGGGGAGACCTCCTTGTGAAACCACTGTGGACGAAGGAAGCCCTCGTGGACTGCCCAGCTGTGGGTCCATCAGGAAAACCAAATCAGATGCCATGTCTTTTTTTGTTTTGTTTTCCCAAGTAGAAACTGAAGTGACCAGAGCATGTGGAGAGGTGGCTCCTTGAAAGTTAAAAAAAAAAAAAAAAAAGGTTTTGAAGCAGCTCTAAACTGGTAGGAAAAAAGAGAATGGTTGACTATGAGAGCACCAGGAGGCGACACACTGCTGGTGACATTAGATGTAACACACACACAGCCATAGAGGGTCAGGGCCAGAGATCAATGACTATGCCACAGAAAGCTGGAGCTCTGAAATGGTCAGAAACAACTGAATCAGACTGAAATGAGACCGTTACGTGTCCAGCTGGAGTTGCTTCAAGCTTTCTTCAAAGTCAGAGAGGGAAAAGTGGGAGGGGGGGGGGGGGGTGTAGCAACCCTAGTGATGAGCGCAGGCAAGAGTTATATTAACAACAGGCAGGTAAGCACGGGACTAAAAAAGCACTTGTGACTGTGGTAGCAAAGAGTGGCTGATGACACGTGTTAAAGGAAGCTGACTTGTAATGTTCATATTGGTAGGGAACATTATAAAAAAAAAAAAAAAAAAAAGCAGAGCAAGCATCTGAGGTGTACATATGGGTGTTCCTATTTATGAGATGTACAATATATTTATTTTCTACATATAAAGTATAAATGAAAATCTATATATTTATTTATTGCAAAGACTTTATTTTGTAATGAACTTGAAGTTATATGGACCGCAGATCCTACTGAAACGAGGCCAAGAAAGCAAAAGAAAAGGAAAGAAAAAGGAGAACTGCAACGATCATGACAATAGAATTGTCCTGCTATCCAGAACCTGTTGTGAGAGACCATTTTCTCTTGGATTTAAAGTGTGATGTACCAATTAAAACCAGATATATGTGAACAGTGGCATGTGCTTGTTTTTTTGTTTTTGGTGCCTGTCACATAGAGACGGGGACATCAGTCTGTTGGTCTAAAATGTGTCAGTGGTTGGTGAGGGAATCTTTTTCTTGAATGAGCAGATCTGGATTCGCAACATCACAAAATAAAGAAGTACTTACCCTTTTGTAACATAACAGAACTGAGAGACAGTTTTTATGTGGCGCGCTGATAAATAATAAAGTAAATGTCTTTAAAAGCTGTAGCCATGTGGCATCTTGACAGGCTGTTCGGGAGAAAGAGAACTAGGTGAAAACATCCAGCAGATTCTTTCCCAGAAAAGATCACCCATACAGTCTCCATCCAATTTGCCCCCTTAAACCCCTTAGCCAGTACGGGTCACATTATAAATTAGTGTGCACAGGCTCTCTCTGTCTCCAGGAGGACTTAGCCAGCCTACATCCACCGTACAAAATCAGAGTCCTTATGCAACTGGATCCCATCTTATAATTGGCTTTACACATCAGTATGGATTAAGAGCAGTGATTGGTTGTTCGCCGCAGGGGCCTCAGACTGTGTGGTGTGAGCTATAACGGTTCTTTTCAATGGACAGAAACAGCTGCCCGATGCATCGGGAACCAGTGGGGATGTGCCACAGACCTGGGGTGGTGGTAATCTGGGGCTAAGAGGGGATGGGATCAACATTTCAACATCTGCAATAGTTGTAATGTTTCTCCACTGGCAGATATCTGTACGCTGTGAGAGCAGGCTCCCCTGGGGGGAGGGAATGGAAAAGTCAAAGACATGCAGGGGGAAAACCCTGGCAGACTCAGAAATGAAAACAATACCAGGAGAGGGAAAAATAGATGAAAGATGGAGGGGAGAAAAGAGTGGGACAAAAGGCACTTAGTGCTGTGAGTGGGATAGAGGGACTCTGCATCAGGATGCACCAGCTGTTTTACCGCTAAATAACCAGAGCACGCTCACTAACAGGCCCGCGATATTCACGGGAATAGGCTTACATGCATCAATCTTTGAAAATCTGCCTGCCGTTATCTGTCTGAAACTTCATTCCAGCTCCAGTTCCCTGAAGGTCAGAAACGGCTGGGAGCGAGACAGCTGCCCATTCTTTATGCGATGTGTGCCCAGCTAGCCACTAGCCAGACATAATGCTGACTTATGGAACTGTAATAGCATTAATTCAATTAAAACAAACTCTGAAAGCTCAGAGACGGCTTGTTTGTAATTACCGTGTCAAATAGGCCCTCAACTGTCCATCAGAGGACAGCTATAAATGTTAGGAAAATCTAGGAGAGGACAAAGAAGAACGTAACCTCTGGATGTGGGCCATGTTGCCTCGCTGGTAAATGTCTTAACATAAAAATGCTTACATCACGGGTGAGGGTAAGTCAGCAGCATGGTCTTGCTGCAGAAGCTGTTTGAGTGGACAGCAGGTGAACCTGAAGGGCTCCTCAAATCCTGGAGGAGGCGAAAGAAAGAAAAGGCCCCACACCAGCCATCGCTCTGTGTCAAACTTCTCACACCACAACGTCATTAAAAACAACTCGGATACACAATTTGTTGATTCTTTTGGTCACTTTATTAAATGTTATATTAAATACTTATCAAGATAGTAGCAGATCAGTCATGGCGAAACATGTTGGTGTTTTTTGCTAAAGTAAGAACATTCTTAGAGGAGGGCAAAGAAACTGTCTACATTTATGAAATACACCTTGTGCAAACACAGGAATCAACAGGCGTCTCTTTGTGAGAAATGTCCGCACTCCTCTCGTTTAACAGCTACACCAGTTTAAGCGTTTAGAAGCAAAAAATGTGCCAAAGTAGAATACAAGTAGTCTGGGGGCCTGCCTGGTGAGACTGCAGAGTCCAGGAGAGCATTACTCACAAAGCACCGCACAGAATCAGCCGTGGATAATAACAAATCCAGTCGCTCATTCTTCCCGTCAGCTCCATCTTGAAGCTGATATTTCAAACTATGTGAGACGTACCCAGAGATGGGTTCGGCCGGGTGTCCCTGCGACGCCCGGCTGAGGCTGGCCGTGCTTTGTGAGAGCCGGTGGCTCGCCCAGGCTGGGGATCAACACAAGTGGAACAAAAACAATGAACGGGAACGCACAGTGCTATGCTAGACGACACGTAACAATGAGAATGGTGTTCCAAAAAGGTCTAGGGAAACCGGCAGGCAGTTTGAACAACACAAGCATTCCAATACCATGTTCAGCAACAACTAATGTAAACACTTAAAAGTAGAATAGAAAAGATTCTGAACAAATCTCAAATCTTTACAGATTTTTTTTTTAAAAGGAAATCAATATAAGGCAATTATTTGACTTTTTTCCCCATGTGTTTTGTTGTTTTTCTTTACTGATCAGATTGTTCTTCCTCCTGACGTGAGCAGGACTGGGCAGCACCATGGGCTGTCTGTTTGCTGGGTTAATCGTGAGGGAATCTTGTGAAGCTAATAGCGATGAACAGCGTTACACCTTTGACCCCTGTCACCAATGATTCTGGTCCCACTCAAATGTTTTTAGGCATTTAAAAGAGTATAAAAACTGAGTTTAAATAATAAGGAAACCCTTTTTGAAGGGGAAAACAATACAATGCTCGAAAGCATTGAGGGTATAACCTGTTTGTCTTTAAATACAGGAAAAATGAAGATATAGAACTCGAATAACATTAAGGCGTTATTTACATTTTTTTCTGCTGTAATTCTGAACAGACCTTTCACACACTCATTTATACATTTTAGTCCACTGCCTCTTAGTGATCACAGAGTACACCCCTGGCAGTTCATCTAAACTGAGGCCCCATTGGACAGGAGCCTCGTCTCAAAACTACCACACCGTGGCCTTGGTGCGCAGGCCGGTGTGGAGCTCTGAGGGGTCTCAGTGCGTTTATTACGGAGAAGCGAGGCCACTGGCAGCCAGGAGAGCAGAGCCGGGGACCAAACCACAGTCGCTCTGACCTACAGGCCCTTTGAGGGGCCGGGGTTCTTGCCCATGTTTTGATGCGTGTTCATGCCGTGGAGCTGCTGGTAAATGCCGAGCAGGTCCATCTGGGAGAGGCCGCCGCCTCCCATCATGCCGTTCTGCATGGCCAGCTGGTTCAGGTAGGTGGCCTGGTTGGCCAGGGCCATCTGCTGCTCCTGCACCTTCCTGTTTGTGATCAGCTTTTGCACGAACATCATCAGCTGAGCGGACAGACACACACACACACACACACACACAGACAAGGGTTTTAATCTCAGCTGTGACATGGCGGACAACATGGCAGACGAGGGAATAAAAACTGTGTCCTGACGAGCCGTGGATGTGGGGGAAACACACAACTAAACAAGGTATTTCTGCTCAGATATCTGTTCATTTGGATTCAGCTCATCACATCCTTTCTGCACACGTCATTTTTTATTTCTAACTTTTTTTTTAAAACACAAGCTCACTTGGTGGTAGGGCCACTTGTTCCCAGAGCACAGCTTACCGTTTGCTGCCGGGTCAGAACATCCCTGTAAATGGCTTCCCGTCGTTTCATCTCCATCTCCACCGTGTTTTGGTGACTCAGAGCCAAACCCCGGACCTGGCTCTCGGTGAGAGAAGAATTTTCCTTCCACTGTGGGGGGGAGAGATGACAGCTCGCACATTAACCATCAACCGCCACGACCCGTGCCACAGGGAGGAGAATCAGCGGCCGTCCAATGACACTTACCACTCTGGCGATTGTATCCTCCAGTGTCTCCCGAGATAAAGCTTTCAAAGCATTTGTTGCCTCAATTACTTTCTGCCGGCCCTGGTTTATGAGGTCCTGCGCACAAAAAATTACACATGAAACATTAAACACGCCAAAGCTGAGTTCCGCCCTCATTTTCTCCATCAGCTGCATGTTCAACAGTCTAAAAAAGTCCAAACATGGACGTGGACGATTCTATACCTGCATTGATATTCGCTTCCATTAAAGATGACATAAAAGAAAGGCACCAGCTAGTGACAGACTAACTGTAAATTATTCCCACGTGTGAACCTCATAATTATGTTTTTACGAGCTGCATATTTACTGTTTTTTTTCTTTTCTTTCCAGTCTCACCATGTCCAACAGCTACCAACAGAAAGAGCCGCAGGTGACTAACCAACACCAAATGTTAGAGATGTACTGATGACGGAGGAGATGAACGCAGCATAAATAAATCAATTAAGAGGGGTCTAAATATTAGATTTCCATTCATGGGGACGGCAGAAACATGAACCCACGTTAAGTGCCGACCCTGCTGTGAGTGAGCTGCACATGACAGGAGACAACCCAAAGAACTCTTCCGAGTTATGTGGCCTTACAGCAGAAGACCTCAGGAGCAGCGCACGGGAGAAGGCATGCGGCGTTTCTGAACTCCTAAATCTCTCATTAGAAAGCACAAACAGCCTGTTGAACTGCCTGTCCTTTGCCTCGCTCGCTGTGTATTAATAACTGCTGCCCCAGACACGGAGTATTATGAAGTGTTAGGTGGAGGAGAGGGCAGATTTGGGCTCGTCTGCTGCTAGACTGTTGTCACAATTAGAAGTGGGGTCTGAGGAATGTGGGGCGCCATGCCGGGGGGGAAGGAGGGGGAGGTGTGCAAGGCAGGAGAGGGGCATGTGGAGCTCATTACTTACCTCCAGCTGCTGGTTGCTCATGGACGCCAGAGCTGCCATGTTGTATGAGAAGTAGCTGGAGGTGCCCATGTCTGGTTGGTTAAATGCCGTCTGGTAGTTGTTCCTCATGGTCAGACCCTGAAAGTTTAAAGACAGAGATAGAGGAAGGGGGGGGTAGAAACCAATCAGACAGGTGTTAATCAACCAGGGGCGTGATGAGACAAACTGGTGGACCAGAGAACACTATGTCCCAATTAAACTTCACACAGCACCCTAAATCCATTTTGAGACGAGAACAGATGCCCATTGTGACAAAGTAAAGAAGCAGAAGCGGAGGGTTCGGTTAATCTGTGGCAAGGGATGCGGCAGCAGAGGCATACGGGCCCTGCCCCATGAGTGATTCCATTTAAGCCACATCAGATGATGGTAAGGCTTTACCACGGGAGGCTCTCCTCAGCTCCGATAGCACAGATGGCTCCACCAAGTACCAGAAGACAACTTGCTTTTATAGGTTTCTTGTGAATTTCTCAGAGGTGTCCATCCACCAAAGCTCTCTACTAAGTGCTTTCTAACCCCAAGTGAAGGGGGAGACATTTTGAAACTTTTATTGGGCCGTTAATTATACAATTTGAAGAAATCAGATCTGAACCCCCTTCCAATAGCCTCTAAAATGTGGTTGTGATTAGATTAATCCACACTGATTAGGTTATTCCTGCTTAAACTACTTTTTACAAATAGGAAAAAAAGTGGGACAGTGGTCTACATCTAGCTTCAGCGCTCACTTCTTTTTAAGTTCAGATTCATTCAGCAAACCAACGGGGTCTTCTGTATCAGTCAGCTCCCGATGTTTAAAATGTGTGTGTGAGAGTGTGGTGACCTGAAGTAAACAGTCTTCTCCCAGTAAAGGCCAGCAGAATGCCGATGTTTGTATGTAATTGAGTCTCAGCTGCAGATGGTTTCCCCATGCCCTGTAATCTGGCCATCCGGTATGCAGGGGTGGTTGAGTGTGTGTGCGAGTTTGTGTGTGCGCGTGTGTGTGTTGGGGGCCAACAGGGGTCTTTGGACCTGGTCAGAGACAGGTGTGCAAACCTAAACAGTACAAAACCTCAAAACAACCACAAGACCACAACACACATGAATCTGCTCACACACACTCCGCACTTTGAACACATACTCATGCTGCAGCCTCAGATGCTCTGCAGCTCTCACACTCATCCAGGAAAAAAAAAAAAGGACTTCAAATCAAGTCTGAATTTCTCTGACCAAAATTTACATTCATGACACGTGAAACTCACAAAGCTGAAGTTGTACCAGTGAGACAAAGGGCTCGTGGGTTTGGTAGCATGAACACTTTTCAGTTTTTCTCATTCCCCGGAGTTGCAAATCTGATATTCATACAGATAGGTTTTTCTGGTGACCACCGGCCAAACTCTGAGGTTGTGAAGACATTAGCGGAGGTAGGGTTACGCTCCAGTTGTTACTCCCACAGAGCCCAGAGTTAACAACATGATACCGTGAAACAGCCTCGTGAAAAAAAAAAAGACCATTTCTGCATCTTTACTGCGAGACAGACTGTAGTGATGTGTATGAAATTGAAATCCTCACATTTGACCTCAGTGTGGCAGCTATTCTTGCGACTCAAACTCTCCGCTCGATGCTAAGCGGAGCAGATTGGAGGGAAAAGCGGCTTACACACGGGACAGAGGAGGGAGAGTGTGTTGGAAAAATAATCATTAGGTTGAATTAGAATCTAGGATTACACGGGGAGAGGAGAGCTGCTCCTGCCGTTTTACAACACCAACACCCCCCCTCTATACACTTCTCCAAATAAACCACACTAATTCCACCACAACAAAGGAGGGCAAAGAAGTGGGGACAGCATGTGTGTGTGTGTGTGTGTGCAGAGAGAGAGGGGGGAGTCTGTGAACCCACATACAGTAAGCTGCATTGACACTGCTTAGACAGCCAGAGTGATTTATATAGCAGATCACTTGCCCAGAGGTGGGCCAAAATGACCATCAGTGGAGCAGGGGGAGGACCTGTCATCTGCTCATTGTAGGTGGTGAAGGGATCATACAGGCCCAACAATAACTCACACATCTTGACAAACATAAGTGAGGGCTCACTCGGCTCACTTTGCACTTTGATGTGAATGTTTTGGAGAAAGGGGGCAAAGGGCTCTATGGGGGCCTTTGGTTTCGGATCCTGTGGATATGCCACCGATTGGCAGACAGGTCCTTCAGTAAACTTTTTTTGATCCCTTTGCGTACCTTTTTCTCTGCTTCGTACTCGGCCCATGCGGCTTTGCGATCCTCCTCGCTGAGGGCTTCCTCCTCTTTGTGGTCCAACAGCGAGTCGTGCTCATGGTATCGAACAATATGGTCCTTGCTGTTCTGCAGCATCTCAGCTAGGAAAGGATCCTACACAAGGAGGCAAAAGAAAGAGAAATGGTCACAGGGGGTTTTTAAATCACAAGAGAAGAAAAGGAGGGAAATCCAGACCTCAATTCAGTGACTTCATTTCATTGACAGTTCCACTGACAAGATGAGAGTATAAACCTTTTCTCCACCTTCTCAGCATAACTCCTTATATTGCTGGTTTGTAACTAAATAAAACTTTGTGACAGAAACTCTACCATGGTTCTGTCGCTATTTTATCACTTTTGCATTCATTCTTGGAAACTGCAGAACCCTCTTAAGTGTTAAAGGTTCCGAACAGGTTAGGAAGACTAAAAATGTGCACTGGCTGTTCCAAGAATCTGAAAAATAAATGGATAAATAAATGACACATTTCTGATTCTCTGGTTTCCATGCCTACATTGTTGTTGAAAACAATACCTGAGGAGAATTAAGAGTTGGGCCAAGCTTCGCTAAAAACATGGTTTAAATTACTTTCTCTGCAGCACGTTTGCTTTTCTTTGTCTGGACTTAGCTTTACATTAAACTGGAACTCGGCAATCTGGAAACCACGTCATGCAGAAGTTGCCTCATTTACTTCCACATGGGCCAGTTCAGCTCTCCTCCCCTGCTCACTGACCAGTGACAACCAGTGTTAATGTGAAAAGAAAAGAAAATCTTCAAAGATTACAGGGGCAGGGGGGGGGGGGGGGGGGGGACACACACAAGAAACATCAAACCATGAAAAGAAGCAGTGATTTCAAACATGTACGAAATAAAAATAAAATAAACATCCGACTAGACGGAGTGAAACTGGATCCATCGAAACAGGAGAGGAAGCAATCTGCATAAAAACTACATGTGGGCCATCTTTCAGGGCCCGACGGCTGCACAGAGATAAAGACAAGTATCTGTAGCAGGTATGGGCAGCCTGGGACAACCCCACACACACAACAGCCCCTGAGAGTTTGGATCCCGGACCCACTTGTGCTCCTCATTGACATGTGTTTATGTTTCCTGGCCATCACTCTCAATCAGGACAAAACCAGGCCGCCCCTGAACAACCAAACATTAGGAAGCAGAGGCACAGCCAGCGATCCGACTGCTGCTTTACCCTCTAATTAGGACATAAAAGCACAGTGGAGTCTGCTGGCCCCACTTTGATAAAAAGCACGCATCGTGGTGTGTTCTACCAAAACAGGGGAACAGAAGGTCAAATAAAAGTCGTGGGGACTAGTAAAGAGGCAACAGTGGGTTCAGACGGAGTCATTTTTGCAGAAAATCTGTGAAAATAAAGACAAGTTTAGCGGGGACACTTCAGAATATGTCTGGGTCCCCTTTAAAACGTATGAAAACATGAAAAGCTTCTGCTTTTGTCTGGATTTTTCAAAAGGAAAGTCGTGATAGATACAGCTTTTACAAGAGAGCTCCTCTGAAGTAGCATCTGCAAATGTTACTTCGGCATTTTTGGGGTAACTATTTGATTCAGGTTACAGCGAGTATAAGGAGTTCCTTTCTCATCCAAAGGAACTGAAGAGGAGCATATCTGACGATCGTCTGCGTAACAGTTCAGTGGAGCTGCAGGTCAAATGACAGTGCAGGCGCTCCCACCGGAAAGCAATGCCTTCTGGGATACCCAAGTAATCCCCACCAGAAAAAGCTCTGGGGTGGTCCGGTCCATCTTTTTCCCCGGAGCCCTGTGTGTATGAGTATGTGTGTGTGTGTGTCCTGAGGCAGCGCTAATGATTGTAGGAAACCTGACCTATGCTATTGTCATCCTTATGGGCACATGTAGTGAAGCCTACAAGTTTTCTGCAGGGAAAAGGATGCTGGGTGGGCAAAAGCTCAGAGAGCAGCCGCTAAACCATCGACTTCAACTTTCTAGGACTTTCCGCTTTGAGGAAAAGGAGGGCGCACCTTTTTTATTTATTTCTTATTAAAAGAAAAATAATGATATCTGGCATTCCTGACTTGTGCTTGTTTGGACGCAGTGATGGAGGTGGCAGGCTGTGACTTTCTTCAGTTGAAGCAAGATTACCTGGGTTACTTTGCATATGTTCTGGAAATGGGGTATCAAACATGTATTTTATATATACGTCTTCCATTGTGAGAGGAATCTGTGCCCTCTTCAAACCAAAGTCTTGAACATGTAGAAATGATGAAAATGTCTCTCCTGCCAGCACCTCACAGATTTTCTAAAAAGCTGTTTTCAAAACTCAGCAGCTCTCATTTCACAAATATTGGGAATCAACATAAGCAGGCCTCATGTAGACTTTATAACTTGGCACGTCTACTTCACCAATAGATTTTAGGTGCCGCCCGACTTTAAAAGTCAAGAAGCAATAAACTGCCCACCTGGCAAGATTCTTGGTCCGCGTTATCAGATACTTTCTCAAACTGAGAACATTCTCAACCATGTTAATCCAATTTCCTGCACCCTAACTGGCCATTTAATGTGCAGAAAATGGGTTAACCATGCTTGTACGATGAAGTTTAATTTCCTTTTTTTAAATCCTTGCCACAATAATAAAACTGCACTTACAATTGAAAGACACCACACGAGAGCCATTAAATGTGCATGAAAGTGGTGGAGATGGTCAGAAAGAGAAAAATCAGTTGCGTTCCAACAGCAAAGAAAAGCGCCACAAAAAAAGAGACGAATTTAGAGGATAATAAACCTTGAGAAAATTCTCAGCTGTTCGATTAGAACAACAGTTTTCTCAAGTTGCCCCGTAGTGTTTGAATGCATTCAAATGGCTGTGTCTGCCAGGCGTTGCTTTTGACGCACAGGTGCATTAACCATAGCAACCGAAGGGGCCAAGACAGGATCCCGACAGCAGGAATGTGAGTGTCTGAGATATTTGTAAAACCTAAACATAGCCAGTCAAAACTCCCTGTCCACCAGCTGCACACCAGTGATACACATAACTCTACTGGCCTGCTATTAACAGTTTCTGTACAGAAACGCGCTGAAATATGAGAGCTGTTCCACGCATCAGAGGGACACCCCCGAATTCAGAGCCACGGTGGCTTTATTCCCTCCGGGGTCTGCACACAAGTCAAAGGGTTTATCTAGCTGTCAGTCAATTAACAAAGAAACAAAATCGTGCATGTCACAAAGGGCTAAAAAAAAAAAAAAACACAATAAACATACCACATTCCTATACAAACAAGCCCCAGCTAGCAGTGGGGGGGAGGTCTATTTCTGCAAGAAGCAGCCAGCTGGAGCGGCTGGAAGATTGGGATGGATTCAGGGGAGTGATCATGGTTTTGACACTTTCCCTCGCAGTTCCTTTGAAACAGTCCGTTCTGGTCAGTACACTCACTCTTATTACTCGGGTATTCATCAGTGTTTCTGATGCATGTTCTAAAGTTGTGCTTCAGAAAAGTTGCTCCGTGTTACACTTTTTGCTTGTGCTTTGTTTAGACTACAGTTCTAAGCAGGTGAAGTAAGGTGGGCATTAGGAGAGTTAAAAAAGAGCTGCATAAGTTAAAAAAAGGTCAGAAGCATTAAATCAATGCATTACACCGCAGTGCAGCAGCAGGCAAATGTTGGCATTATAATATTTGTGTGAGATACATGATGATTAATACTCTGAAATGTTCTCACAAAACAGAAAATATCTGCTCTTAAACTCTTTGAATCGTTCACACCATTGATTTAATAAAGTGCAAATCCCTTTTCACACTACTGAAATACCCCTGGTTAGTTATTTTTTTAAAGCTAAAAGTAAACCTGTAAAATACCACACCACACTCAATTCTAAACGGTTTTCCATGCCAGTCACCAGGAAACAAATAGGCAAAGCTTCTCTTTCAAGTCATCTGAAGGTGAGAGCAGGATTTAGCATTGAAGTGGAAACTACAGCAGCACCACCAGATTTACTCCCAGAGCACCAGAATGCAGCAAATGAGGGTCAATGACGCGTTTGGCTTTTTCTCACCTGCAACAACGCCATGTCCCTCAGTTACTATCATTAGTGCTCCCTCCACCTGCGACGCAACAAGAACAGGCACGTCTTCTGAGAGCTGGCAAAAAGCATTGTGGGAAGTATAAGAAAGCACTTACCCAAGTGGAAATTGATGGGGAAGGTGGTGGGGGGGTGGGTGAGTGCACCAAAGAAATAATTTACAATACTGCGATCACAAAATAACTTCTGTAATCCACTGATCGCTGATGTACTGCTTAAAGAGAATGTGAGGGAGGATTTTTCTTTCAGGTCAAAGTGACTTCCTATCCATAATGAGACGAGCATGGTGTGGTTTATTGCTCCAGTCTGTGCCGCTATGAGAGTGCAGCCTGCCCAAAGCATTTAAGCGTTCCTGTCAGGGCCTAATGACCACTGCAGCCATCACCTGCTGCGAGCCAGTTCACAGAAGCATGCTGCCAGCACATCCACAGGACGGACACAGCACAACACAGAAACCTTTGCAAAGAGCGGGACGGAGCCATATAAAAGAATGTTTTTAAAAAAAACTGTCCCAAGTCTACCACTGTAACTTCCCTCTGTGCATGTGGCAGCATGTCAGATGGGTGAGATAAGTATGATGAGCGGGGAGCAGGTAAAAGTATCTCAGGGTGGGTGGGTAGGGGATTGTCAAAATCTCATGTCTGGGCCACAAGCAGCTTCTTTGTCATTAGAGGGAAGTGTGCCTGCTTTCTTTGTCTCCAATTAGATTTTCTACAGAGAACAGACCTGTTTAAAAGAGGGTTTAAAGTAATGACCTTTCGTCATGCCCGGGAGGCCAAAGGTAGGAAAAGAAAGAGAAAAGGAAAAACAGCGTGAGAGACATTGAACGTTTTGAGGCAAAGTGGCTAGTAAGAACAACAGACGCTGTTAAAGGCGATGTGGAAAGGATTCGGTTGGTAAAGGTAGTGGGAACAAGGCAGGACATCAGGTCCTGAAATAGTCACACAATGTGAAGAGCGCAGAGAAGATGTGAACACGTGAAAAACGCTCAAACATCTGCCTCTGCGGCATGTGTGAATGGAACTCAACAGAAATCTGCCCTTTCTATCAGAGAAAGCAGACCTTCCCCAGTGTGAAGACTTGGGAAAAGGAGCGGAGCACTCTGATGTGGTTCAAATCGTTGCCGCCTTCTGTGCCGAGCTTTGCTGGCTACAAGTGATGGAGGGTGTCTGACTCATCTTCACATCATTCCAGATGGCAAATTCCTTCCGTCGTACCGCAGTTCTGCTGCCACATCACAGTTAACCCGCTGGCCACAACAGGTCAGCCTGTTAAAAGGCTCGTCAGCCTCTCCATCTTTAATACCATGTCGCATAAATGTCACAGGGTTCATTAAAGATCATATAACAGCGCCGCAGCTCTAAAAGAACATCTTTACCCTTCAAATATCCAGATGGGTTTCCTCCTCCCAAAGTAAGCTCTTAGTTTAGAGGAATGGAGGAGGAGAGAAATGATATCACCTTGCCACTGAGTGGAGTCACAAAGCGCTCCTTCCTGTTAATATCCACTAATGTAGTGCCTGTTAAAGGATTTATTAAAAGGGTGTTATCTGAAGCCCACTCGTTCCCACAGCTATAAATGATCACAAAAGGAAAGGTCACTTAAGCAGGCCAAGCAAATCTAACATGGACCCATAAAAAAAATTAACAATGACCCCATTTCTGAAAAGCGATGCTGCAGCCGACCTCACAAAACCGTCTGTTTTTGTTAATGCTAATGAGAGCTTTCATACAATTGATGGTGTTGGAAAAGATGACATTCTTTCCCATATTTTCACGACACACGTGTCTGCATCGACCCGTCAAAGGGATCCACGAAATGCAGGCAGGGTTGCATTGTTAGCTTGGCTAATGCCTTTTTTTTTTTTACTTGCGTCAGAGATCTGAAAAGTCCATTCTTGCAGTCCTGCCACAGCTGTGGATGTTATTGCTCGCAGTCCATTTGATATTCAAGTAAAATAATGTTTTCAAATAGCAAACCAGAGTTGTGCAATTATAGGCATGACGTACAAATGTAACGGCATCCGCTTCCAGCGCAGCGGGTTCTGCCTTGATGACTCTCACTTATAGACCGCTCAGCGGCAAGCTGCCGCTAACCACAATGTCTTCATATGTGACAAAACAGGAACAAACACCACGCAACGAGTCTCTGCAACACCAGCATAACAGAAAATGGCCACGAGGAATCTAAAAAAGGTAAAAACGAACAGTTGTTTGGATCGCCTGGCAACTGTGGCTAACGTTACACGGATGCACAATCGCAGATGACCAGCAAAACAGCCATCGAAACCACTTGGCAACAACAACCCATTACGTAATCATACAATGCGTCTGCAGTGTGCAACAGATGATGTGCTTAAATGGAATCGTAAAGTTGCAACTACCCAAAATATGTCAACTGCTTTGCCGTATGCATTTCAAATTTCCGGGGTCACCAACAAGAGTGATGGCCATTTTGAAAGGGATAAGATGAACAGGTGAAAGCTTCAGGAACAACACTACACACACACAAACAGGTGTACAGAAAAACAGCCCCTGGACAGCAACAGTAAACATGCATAAAAGTGTGAATGTAAAAGAAAAACGTGTCTTCAATAAAGGTGGACCGACGGACGCCTTTCTCCAGGCCAGAGATACACTTTCTTACTCGTTTCTGTTTACAGATTTCTGTAAAGGAACCCAGGTTCAACCAGAATAAAAAGATAAAAGCTCTTAGGAAATAAAACTGGGAAAAAACAGACAGAGGAAAAAAGGATTGCAGTAGGGTGGGAGTCATTCAAAGATCAACAGAAAAGTAGAAGGCTGCAAGGAATGAATCTAAAAAAAAATGTATAAAAAAAGAGGACTGCAGGTTTATAGCGGGGCAGCAGCAGTGTTGCAATGAGAACACTATTTAGTAAATAGCAGTAAACACAGATCTATGCAGCTGTGCTGGGTTGGATGGCCCATGTAAGGGCTGTGTGTTCTTATAAAACCCCAGGGGACCAAAATGGTGACAGCACCTGCGTTCAGATGAGATGAGCCGAGTATGGGATTGAGAAAAAGGCGTATAGAAGTGGAAATATCCCAAAAAGGCCGAGCAGGATGCAAGTTTATAACCTATTCATTAAACTTCAAAAGGCACACAGTCATTGTAAGTTTCGGAAAATAAACTCATAATCTCTGCATTTTGGGCTATGTTTGATCTGAAAATTTAAAAAACTATCTGAAAGATTTTGATACTTTTCATTGAAGTGATATGCAATTCATTTCAATCATGTACAACAAGTCCACCTTAAAGGGTCAAAGTCTAATTACATCTATGATTTCTATCAAATAAGTTTTCCAAAAATGAAAATAAATACATAAATCAACAAAGAGTTTAGTAGTGTATGAATATTTACTTTGGGAAGCATGGGTGTGGCTCTCTTGCTCTTCTTCTCTGAGGGATCGTCCAGCAAATCTGGGTCAAACGTGTAGAGTTCGGCCAGCTCGTTCATAGTAAAGTGCCTCTCGATCTGCTGCTGGTCCACGACCCGGTATGACAAAGACTGCTTGGTGACCTGTCGCTCATAAATCTTCTCTTCCATTGTGCCCTAAAAAAAAAAAGAGATCAGAGAGCAACATGAGACCCTTCTTTAACATTTTGTATCCTAGAATTCAACCAATAGCATCCCATGTGAGGTATATGCAGGTATCTCACTCTGAGGTAGTGAAGTTTTTAAATTCACACTTGAAATGGCCATTTATGGGAAAAGAAAAGAAGGGTACCTGAGCGAGGAACCTGTAGACATACACAGGTTTGATCTGTCCAAAGCGGTACACTCTGAAGATACTCTGGATATCGTACGAGGGGTTCCAGGAGGCGTCGAAGATGATGACCCTGTTGGCTGCGACCAAGTTGATGCCGAGGGAACCAGCTCGGGTTGATATGAGAAACAAGCGCCCTCTGTGTGAGGAAGTCGCACAGGAAAAATCACTGAGTGATGCAGCTCCGAACGCCAACCATCAAGTAGCTTACAATTTCCCCAAGCGTGACACAACAATCTCCTCAAATGGTTCTTGTTAAAGCGTACACATTTTCATGGTGATAAATGCTCCTTTCCAGGAAGGTCATTCATTTCTCGCACTCATACTTAGTTGGGGAGGGCCTAGAAGCAGCTCACAGGCTGATTTGGGAAGCTCAGACGAGATAAGATTTATTTTCTTCATTGTCTAACAAGGATTTCTTTTTTACTCATAAGAAAGCTTGGCATTATTATGGCATAAACATTAGTTAAAAACTATAATTAATTTCCTTATCAAATATTAATCCAATATTTAAAAGAGATGTGGCCAAGTAACTGGAAAGTTATACAGTACTTGCCACCATATTTTGGGGTATGAAAAAAACTCCTGTGAATAAGGCTGCGGTCAAAATGAGACTAGTGTGTTTGGTAAAGCGTGGGGAACGCCGAGCCACTAACAGTGAGGGTCACTATAAAGGGAAAACACTTCCATATTTAACTCCTACAGCACATGTTGACAGTAACATCTCTTTCTTAGAATAGTTGTGCATGTGGAAACTGTCCAGGCATTGCATTTCCCGATGAAAACATATAAATGTGATGGTTTATCAAACCATCACATTTATCAGCATTAAGAGCCAAGATTTTGTTGTATCTCTAACAAGATTCTCAGTGTTCTCACCATTATTACATTATTTCACAAAAGCACCACAGAAACCAATTGAAGTAACTTTAACATTACAATCCAAGTGCTAAATTGAATAAAAGAACAAAACCTATTAAACATCCTTCAAGAAAATCTTAAGCAAAAGACATCAGGGGGTGCATGTGGGTGCTTTTTTCAAAAGATGAATCTAGACTTCAGGCATTTGTGCTGCCTGTTCCAGAATTTTAGACCAACAGTGTTGTTGTTGTTTTGAACTTTTTTCTGAAACAATTTGAATTTTGGCAGGCTGATGAAATTTGGCCGATAGAGAAAGCGCCGCACCTCGTGTTACTGCTGTCGTTAAACTCCTCCGCCCACTTCTTCCTGGTGGTTGCGTTGGTGGATCCATCTAAGCGATAATAGTCGATGTTCCTAAACCATTTGCCTTCACCTTCAAAAGACACAGGAGATAAAAGTCTGCTTTGACATCTCATCACAAAGTAAGTTCCACAAAATCTTTAGAGGAGCCGCCATCAGGTCGGTCTTTTCCTTGTCAAAAGGACTTAGTTTGGGTATTAGCAGACAGCAGATGGATGGCTGTGTTGGTTAGAGGCCAGCCGCGTTTAGCCTTCAAGATGGCCGACTCCCCCCCACCAGCCTTCATAACCAACATTTCAGTATGTTTCCAATTATGGCACTGTGATCTTTTCATTACAAATTACAAACCCTTAAGCAAACATTTTTTTGTAGAATAAAAAGTCAAGGTCTAATCATTTTCAAAATGAAAGCAAAAACAGCTGCTGAAGTTTAATTAGGAACATGACCTTACACCAGCGGCAATGTGTTTGTGCGTCTGTGTGTGTTTAAGGGTAATAAGCACACCAGCGTGGAGCAAAATACATGATGCATGTGGTCTGAAACTTGCAACATGTAGGACAGCTTTAAGCTTTTTTGAGGTAAGCATTTGTATTTCTTTCACATCACACAAAACTTTACGATTTTAAACAGATAGCAAAAATGTGTCTCTTTATAAAACCTCTAATTCCAAAGTGATAGCTTGTCTGTTGAGGGACTCGAGATTCTTAATGGTTAGAAACATACCTTTGTAAGGAGAGATTTTGTCTTCATCTTTTGCTCTGCAAGACAGCTCCAAGAAATCCTCAATCAGGTCCAAGGAAATCAGGGACTGACTGAACACCAACCTGAGGACAAACATAAATACACTTAACTAAAGCATCATGTCAAACTTTGAATATAGTGGAATATTGAAACCTTTCCGTCAAAACGCTGTTTTAATGGAAAAGGTCAAAGTTAAGTTGAACATAGTTTCAGATAGACTTACACTTTCTCATCCACTTCCTCTGCCATGCGCAGGATTTCAAAGAGGAGCGTGATCTTTCCCGAGTGTTCCAGGATCTCAGAATCCGCCTCGGTCACAAACTCTTTGTGCCAGTCGGCAGAGCAGGGACTTGATGGTGCTGAGCCAGCAGGCTTAGCTGCAAGAGACACACAGAGTTCAAACCAGTCTCAATGCACATTTCAATCTTGTAAGCAGAATTGTTACGTTTTTAGAAGCTGGACATCATTTGGGATACAAAATAGGAACATGTGACAGGTTTTAACTTTTCTAAAGATGGATGAGGACAGAAAAACAGAGAAAGGAGAATAAACACTAGCCATATTAGTAGTACGACAATGAGAATATTGTTTTAAAGAAGAAATTCCTATTTTGAAATTTCTCTAAGACCCCAAAACAATTAATCAGTTTATTGTCATAATATTAAAAAAAAGCTGCATACACAGTTGTACAGTCTGTTGAATAATTTACAGAAATATGCTTTAATGGTTTTCAGAGAATGTCCAGGTGCTCAAACAGCTAATGTGAAATGTACATTTCAGTAAAAGACATGGGAGCAGTATCTGAGAAAGACACATTTTTTCTATATAGGTGGAAATAGAATTATAAAGCCAGCTATTGTGCATGTCCAACAAACTTACCTTCTTCAACAGGCTCTGCTCTGTTTCGACCTTCTCCATTCCTTCCACGAGAGCTGGTGTTCCATTCTTTGATGACCTCTACATCATCGCTGTCTGAGTCATCGGATCCCTTCTTTTTACCTTTTGCTTGCTTCTTTTTCCTATCAGATATAGGCGCAGTGTGAGATAATTCATAATGAAAATGCAGTTGAATTTTGTTATTGATAAAACAAAAAAGGGGTATGGATTTGATTTTACTTTTTTGACTTCTCATCCTCAGAGGTAAGACTCATGGAGGATTCATCGGTTTCTGAAGCGATGAATTCATCCATACTGTCTTCATCAAAGTAACCCTGAAAGAAAATGCACGTGTGTGAATACAACCACACACAGACCTGGATGAGGAGTGCAGAAATGTGACAACATGTTGTTTGTTCTCTCCTAATACTTCATCAGTCAGTGATACAGTTGTGCTATTTTCTCAGAATTTTTTGTTTTGGTTTAGAGTTTAGTGTGGTTTAGTCTCTTCTTCCTCAGCCGTACCCTGTTTTCTTTGCTGATGTAGTCCAGCTGAAGGCACCAGGGATGGGTCCAGATTCTGCTGAGCATCTGGAAATCCTGGAAGAGTTTAGTTCCAGCGCGGCCCCGGCCCCCTTCCAAAGCATTCCCCACACCTGCACACGAGGGGAAAAAGCGTATGAAGGTTAAAAGTCGATGTATAGCGCTCTATCCATTTTCAGGTCAACCCAAGAAGCTGATGGCCATTCAGTCGGTAACGTGGAAATTAGCTCAAATTCTCAAGTCAAAAATGAATTGCTGGGCATTAAATCGATTCAGTCAGCTGCTCTCCACAGTGAGCGGTGACTGCTCAAAGTCATGCACATGTTCTCCAAGTTGGCCTGCACTGACCCAGGGAGGCCAGAAGTTCCTGGGTTTTTATGCAGGCAACAAAAGCAGTGAACATTTACAGCCATTCCCACCATGCTCACTGACTGGCTGACTGACTGACTGGTGCTCTGTGGCCCAAAGAAGCCACTGTTGAGGTCGTCAGCCAGAGGCTCAACATCAGCACTGTGCACTGTGGACAACCCGGCCTAATGAGCCACGGCGCATACCACCAGTCCCCCCACATTCCAACTCTCCTGTTCTTTGTTTTTGGTTTTGGTGTAAAACCTCTGGCCCCTTCTCCCTCTAGATTTCTTTCCCTTTCCTTTATGCCCCCACGTCTCCCTCCCTTTTGCCCCACACCCTCTGCTCCCTCTCTCCCAGAGCTCTTCATTAGGCAGAAACGTGGGAAACTGGGCTTAAAACCTGCCTGCGGCACAGTGCCAGCTGCCACTCTGACACACACACACACAGATATATATATATGTACACACACATAAGTTCTGGGCCACATTCATGCAGGGAAGTCCACTAAATGACTTAAGCACCTTGAAAAAGTAAGATACCAGAAAGGCCTTCCATTTATCGAAAAACCCTGCCTGAATAAATTACATTGACTTTTTTTTTTAAAGAAAAGAGAAGCAGGACTCCCGCAAAAGGATTTAACCTAGATGCAGACTATTTCCATTTTTCAATTTAATTTTGTCTAATCAATTAACTTAAACCTGTGCCTGAACAATACGTTTTTTGGAAAAGCCTTTCGAACAGACACTGTACTTCTTTCAGCTCCAAACAAACAAAAAGAAGATTCACAACAGACACCAGTGCAATCAAAAGCCACAGCATCTCACCTGTGAAATGCTCCAGGTAGTGTCTGTAGAGTTTACACTGGAGTGGCGTCACTCGGATCGACAGCACATATTCATGTTTGGGAGGCAAAAACTTTGTGAGGGCCGTGTAATCTTTCCTCTGAGGGAGCAAACAGATTTCATTTTTAAAAATCAGTGGAGCGAAAAGTGAGGAAAGTCAAAGTAGAAGGAATCTTGCTGAGCTGTAATTAAGGGATCTTTTACCTGGACACAGCCAGCCAGCATCTCATAGAGAATGTGAGCCCTCTTCTTCATGATTCGGACATCATGCGGAGTGGAGTCAGCACACTGGCCATTCTGAATGGGGTTAATGAAGCGGTTCCTGAACTCCTTAACTGAACCAAGCAGGTTTTCCTTGATGAAGTTCACCATGCAGTGGTCTGTAAGAAGGATGCAATCAGACATTCCAATTAAAACATTAATGGCAATCATCTTAGTTTATTCACAGCACTCAAAGGAACCATGATGTCTCACATTCAATAAGGTTGTTTTGGAGAGGTGTCCCAGTCAGCACAATCCTCCTCTTTGTCCTGATGGAGTTCATCGCCCTGGATACAGCAGAAGCTTCATTCTTCAGGATATGACCTTCGTCACAGATCACCATGTCTGGACCTGGTGAAAACAAAGAGGGAAACGGTCACATAGATGGCATAGCTGAAAATGCCTTTATAAAACGACAGCACCGGCAACATAACAGGAGTTTTTTAAACTGCTTTCCTGAAGTAAAGTAGTTGAGCCACTTGTGCTGAACGATGAAGTGAATAATTTGATCTTAGTATGGACCACACTGTATCTGCTAATGTTACAGCTCAGCCTAATTGTTTTATGAAACATTATATAGACAAGAGACTTCTCACTGCTTCTTCTTCGAACGGCAGTGAATACAGCAACGTGTAAAACCTTTTGAATACAAACATTTTAGTGGATTGCCAGCACCAGCATCCAGCCATTCACCCATTACCTGGATCAACAAGGGTCTTCTGAAAGATCTCTTTGAGCTTCTTGCTCTTGATGTTTCTGCCCTGTGTCAGATTTCGGTACATCTCATAGCCGATGATCATCACACCGCCTGACTCTTCCCATCTCTGGAGGGCATACGCCCTATCCTGAGGCCGCTTCACTGTAGCTAGTTCAGTCACCTGTTAGACAAGCCGAACGGAGATATGCTGAGCTCTGTGTTGCAATTAAAACAAAGGGCACGAAAGATAACAAAAGAAATACCATACCTCCAAACTCTCATCATCTTCCAGCCCTTCTTGCCACTTTTCAAATTCATTAAGCCAGTTGAGGACCGTGTTCAGGGGACAAACCACCAGCGCAGTAGCAAAATTAAGCTTCTCACAAAGTAGCAAAGTATGAAGGAATGTCACCACCTACAGGACAAAACGGGAACTGCAGATAAACACTTTGCATACAATTTTCATTCCATCCTGTGGTATTCTGTGAATCTGCATTATGCCCCCCACCCCTTCTGTAGCTTTAGTCTTACATAATTCAATGTTTTAAAATTTGATGGTAATAAGTTTAGTTGTATTGGCCTACATGTGCACATGTTGTCATGCATGTCAAAGTAAGGACAAACAAAAGGAGAAAGATACAGACAAATACACCAGTTTTTTAATATCCTTGGGGAAATGTACAGTTTAACCTGGATATTGTGGGCATTGTTCTCTCACCTGCAGAGTTTTTCCAAGACCCATACAATGGGCCAGGATGCAGCCTGAGCCAGAAGATTTCTCAATCTTCTTCACAGATTCACAGCAGCAGTCCCACATAAACTGCACCCCTGGAAAAGAACACAAAGGCAGCAGGACATGCTTTACATCAGAAGGATCGCCTGTCTGGCTGCTCAAAACCCACCTCAAATCAATCGAGTGTGTTCACATACCATCAACCTGGTGAGGTTTAAGCTTTGTGACGAGGTTCCTGTGCACCTGCACCATGGGCTCTTTCGTCTCTTCGTCCTCATCCAGTACAAGCTTGGTTGTGATGGGACAGACCACCGGCGAGGCTTCATCCACAACAATCACCTGGGAGTGGATGAAAGGCAGAGGAGAGAAAACAAGTTTAAACAAAGTCTCCCCAAAATGCAACATTTGTCCTTTATTTACATGGAGGATGAAGCAGTCTGTCTGACAAACATTCCCACAAAGAAACACACAGCAATGTGACCAATGAGGAAAACACCAAACTCCACGGAAGTGATGAGCAGAGTGGATGAAAGACTAAAGCTCCCACTGAGTCCAGCACCTATTAAAGTTTATAGCACAAGCAGTAGAAAGAAAACAGCAGGCCCAGTTAAGTTAGGTCATGCTGCACTTTGTTTGTTTCCACAACTAATTTGAATGAGCCAAATGCAGCTAAATTCTCAGTGAAAACCCCCCACTAGACCGCAGAGGGATCAAATAAAACAGGCCAAGTCACTAAAATGTCTGCTGCTGTTATCAAAGGTAGAACTTTCAGTGTGGGGGCCGCTAAAACCCAGAGCTGGCACAATCTTTATTCTCTTTGCTGTCATCCTGCTGGGTCTTTGCTTATCTGGTGAAGTGAGATGCATAAGAACAGGGTCTTATTTTAGGAAGCCCGCCTTGCTACGGAAACCATCACAGCCTGATCGTTTTTGTTCAGAAGTGCCGCTTGATGAGCACCAGTTTGCTCGGTTGCGTTTTAAATCTCCCAGCAGGCTTTTAACTCACAAAGACGTGGTACAGAAATCACAGCAAAGTGAACAAAAGCAAATGCCAGTGATGTAATCACTTCCCTGCTGCTGTCGGTTTTCAGTGCATGGTCTCAGGAGGCCAGTCAGTTGTGACACTTCTTAGCGGTTTGATTTCAATTTAGTACACAGTGTAAAACATGCAACGCTAAATCACTCCTAATCAGCCCTTCCAACCACATCTCTCCAGTGAAAAATAATCGGATCTATGTAGTTGGGAGAAGTAAATAAGACTGTGTATGATCAAACCAGTGAGCAACTATTACTGCAACATATTCGCAGAGTTGTTTGTGTTAATCTCAGTCTGTTGTCCGATATGAAGGAATTTTCCGGCTTACCTCTCGGAGCTTCTCCCTGAGTGCCTCTCTTTCAGCGATGCGTCTCCTCCTCTCCTCCTCCTCTTTCAGAGCATCCCTCGTCTCCGTTCTCAGTTTGTCATCTTTCAGGATTTTGCGGATCTTTTTCCGGGCTTTGCGGCCTTCTCCATCTGGGTCATCACCATCTTCCTCTCCACTCTGGAAATAAACACCGACTTCAGCCCTTTGATCTTCAGCCCTCAGGTAAAACTGCTACTTTGTATGAGGAGTAACCAAGCAACCCCATGATTCATTTGTCCCCTCAATAATCTCTTGGAAAACTCCCCACAGGGGGAAGTTCAGATCAAATTTTAGGTGCCATGCATCTCCTCTACCAAGTAAACCAGAAGAAACTGAAAAAAAGAGTGCACAGCATTTAAATCACCTTCTCATTGCTGGAGGAAGAATCCTGAACTTTAATCCTGCGTCTCTTCTTTTTCTGCTGCTTGTAGCTTCTCTGTTTCTCATCGTCCTTCTTCCTAGAGGATCTACAGGTAAAATAAAATAAAATTTAACAGCCCACAAGCAGCACAAGATTAATCCCGATGAAAAAATCACAGCCGCTGACTGGATGATCACCTGGTCTTTCTACGCTTATCGTCTTCTGACTGGCTGACCTCCTCGCTCATCTCTGACTCTGAAGAGGTCTCTGACTTTGAAAAGTCAGAGTCGGCAGAGTCATCGCTGCCTATAGACAGAAAGAAGACAACATCAAATATTAAATGAATGGCTCAGGAGTGACAAAAAAACAATCTTTTAAAAAAAGGAGAAAGATAAAAAGCTGCATTTGCCTTTTTTCCCAGACTTCTTCTTGCTCCCCTTGTTCTTCTTTTCCTTAACCACTTTCTCCTCTCCTGACTCCCCCTCGCTGAGAGAGAGCTTATGACGCAGCAATTTGTGGCGTCTGCCACTCTTCTTCACTTCAACATCTGATCCGGAGTTTTCAGAATCTTCTTGTTCTTAGAGGACAAACACAAATAGTTTGATAAAATGCAAATGTAAGTCTAATCTAAAGAAAACTGTACATATTTAAGCAGGCATTTAAGAAGGCACCTTGCTCCTCTTCATCCTCCTCCTCCTCCTGTTTTTCATTTTTAGACTTTTTGGAAGACTTCTCTTCCTTGGCTACTTCTTCGTCATCAGAGGAGCTCTCTGCTCCTGAAGAGTAATTGGATTTTATTTGGGCAAGAAGCATTTTCTTAGCAATCCTTTGGAGAAAGAAAAACAGACAAAAGGAGACAACTTCAAGTCAATCCCACACGAAAATTGTATTTTTGCGGATGCATTTAAATTCTTTTAAAATGAATCAAAACATTTGATGAGTATCTTAGCTTACCCAGGAAGAGGCATGGCAAAAACATGACAACAATGATCTTTTTGACACAATAATTTGGTTCAAAATTCCAAAGAAGATTATAGGCATTTCTATGACAATCCTAACCAATTACAAGATAAATGAAAACAAGAATCTGTTCGTACGGGTTCTTAAACACATTTGTCCACTTATATTGAACTAAAATGTGGCAGTGCTACAGAGCACCAAAGCCCAAAGTTAATATGCCCCTTGGACACAAATATCCCAAATGACAAGTAAATAATAGATAGAAGACTGTGATCGGCCACATTTTTCTCTGAGAGCTTATGGTGATGTGCATCTATGTGAATATTTCATCTGACAACGTTGAGTACAAAAGGAAAGAAGGAAACTCGGCTGCCTTGACAGACTCCTCATAATTAAATGTATTTGTGTTACATAAACAGACTGCGGCATCATGTCTCTCAGAAATTATTGATACTTTTGAGCTAGCGCTGCTTTTTAATACGCATCCCCTGTTCATACCATCTTTTACCCATGTACCTGTTTTCAGGATCATCGTCGTCGTCACAGTCCCGAACGCCGCCATCTTTAGAGTCTACTTCATCTCCTGTGCAACGAAAATATTGCATTGCAGTTTAATGGATGACAGCACCATCTCCTCCCTCACTATTATTAGTCATCTTAATTTCCCTTTGAGGGCGTGAAAGTGTGTGCTTATTTAATCCTCTTATTTTACTTGACAGGCATCTGTGAACATTTGAAAAGCTGGAAACATTACTTTATTTTTTATTCTTATGAATTGGATTCCAAGCTGGAGATCTTTACCTGAGGATTGATGGAATGCCCCACTGCCTCCCACAACATTATCCTCCACAATGGGTTTGATCTTTTGCTCGTCACTGTCCTCTCCGGAGTCGCCTTCAGCCTGCTCCCCCCCCTCCTCCTCCTCCTCCTCCTCCTCGCTGGAAGATGAGTGCAGTTTGGAGGCTGCTTTTGGGCTCTTTCCCTTCCGCTTCTTTTCATAAGACCGCCTCTGATTGGTTGTCTTCCGTTCAGGAGAGCTTTTTTCTTCCTCTTTTGCGGCGTCTTGTTTCTTTACACGGCTAGATCTCCTCTTTGCTGTGCCCACTTTACTCTTTGTTTCCTTCTCCTGATCAGAGTCTGAGTCAGACGAGTCTGAGTTGTTTCGATTCTTCTTCTTCTTTGACGCCTTCTGGCTTTTATTCACTGTGTCTGAATCGGAGCTTTCAGACTTCCTCTTGCGTTTGGATGATTTAACGGTATCCTGTGTGGAGGCCTTTGATTTGAATAAACGCTTCTTGGCTTTTGTGCTTTCCTCTTCCTCATCTGTGCTGTTGCCCGCAGCGGCTTTCTCTAGCAATATGTGAGGAACCTCATCCGAGTCAGACTCTTCTTCTGCTTTCACTGCTGTCTTGCTCTTTTTCCCGCCCTCTTTTTTGGAGTTGGTGGATTTTTTGGAGGATTTGGCCTTGTCCTTGCTGTCTGCCTCTGACTCGGACTCAGAGGTCTCCTTCTTGCTCTTATTCTCCACCTGCTTTCTCAAAGGAGTGGTCTTCACTCTACTAGAGCGGCGGGTGGGTGGTGGGCTCTCAGTCCTGTCCACAGGCTTGTTCTCGTCCTCACTACCTTCTTTACAGTTCTTCTGGCGCTCTGCACCCTTTTCTCTTTTGTGGGACTTGGAGGACCTTGACCCACAGGTTGTCACAACGGGCACAGGGGTCAATTTGACAATCAGGTTCTTCACTTTAGGCTGGGGCCGCCGAGACTGTTGTGGGGGTCCATTTGACTTGGTGTCCGTGTCTGTAACCGAGTTGGTCTCTGTCTGTGAGAGCATGGAGGAATCTGCCAGGCTCTCCACCATCTGAAAAAGCTCCTCAGGAACGGAAGGAGGCACAGACATGATGTCATGATCTAAGGACATCTCCCCAGCTGACAATGGCCCATCATCACAGGGCTCAGTTTTGATTAACTTTTTGGTTTCTTCAGTTCCTGTTTGGTGGTCTGTCACTTCGGCCTCATTGGACTCATTGTGGTCCATGTCCTGCTCAGTAGGGTCCTGATTGTTCACGTCTTCAGTCAGTTCTGCTTCACAACCCGAAACGGCAACTTTGTGGGTCTCTTTGTCCATCTCCTCATTAGTCTCAGGTTGACGAACCAACTGAGCTTTTTTCTGCAGATCTTCCTCATCCTTCTCAGCCCCGGACACCGAGTCTGCTTCATCCTGCAGCTCTTTGTCCATCTCTTCAGCTGTCTCAGCCCCAGACACAGATTCTGCCTCATCCTGCAGCTCTTTGTCCATCTCTTCGGCTGTCTCGGCCCCAGACACTGATTCAGCTTCATCCTGCAGCTCTTTGTCAATTTCTTCAAATGTCTCAGCCCCAGACATGGATTCTGCTTCATCCTGCAGCTCTTTGTCCATCTCCTCAGCTGTCTCAGCCCCAGACACTGATTCAGCTTCATCCGGGAGCTCTTTCTCCATGTCCTCAGCTGTTTTAGCTCCACAAACTGATTCCACCTCATCCTGGAGCTCTTTGTCCATGTCCTCAGCTGTCTTAGCTCCACTAACTGATTCCACTTCATCCTGGAGCTCTTTGTCCACCTCTTCAGCTGTCTCGGCTTCATAAACCACACGTGCTTTGTTTTGCTGCTCTTCGTCCAATGCTGGAGCTGCATCATTCTCTTGCACTGAATCTGAAGCAATATCCATTGGATGATTGTTTTCTGCTGGCTCCACGACATTAGTGCTGTTTTTCTCAACACGTTTCCCTTTATTGCCATTCTGCAGCTCCATGTTTCTGAACTCAGGCTCCAAAGCCTCCTCCAAAGCATTGTGGGCTTTTTGCAGATCTGACAGCACAGCCTTGAAGGCTTTCAAATGCCTGTATCTGATGGACGTCCCTTCCTGGTCTTCGACGGGCTGCTGGATGAACTGGATGAACGTATTGTTCAAACCAGTTGTAGTTTCTACCAGTTTTTTAGCTTTCTTGATAAGTTCTTTGGGTACTTGTATTTTTTTGTAAGAGAATGTCATGCTACCCGAGCCCTCAGTGTGTTCTTTTCCATTGGAAACTGATTTGTGCTCTTTGGCTGCTTTGCTCTTGTCTGTCTTGTTTTCCCGTACGTCTGCTTTTTCTGCTTTGCGTTGTTTGAGTTCCACGCTTTCCTGTTTCTCCATGACGCTGTGGCATTTGGACACCAGATCCTGAAGGGGCTCCGAGCGGCACACATAGCAGTGCCACTTGGAGTTCTCATCTATGATGGTCGACAGCTCCTTCCTGCCCAAGTTACGCAGGATGCACTTCTTGCAGAAGGCATTGCTGCAGTAGTCGCAACAGATTAGCTTCCCACCTTCGGCACACCACCTGCGCAGAAAGAGTTCAACAATGACGCAAAGGAAGAAATTAGGTGAATCTTTTGTGAATATTCATAGAGATTTGAAAAAATGTTTACATGGTTAAAAATGTAATAAAATTCCTCATCTTAAAAGATGTGTGTAAATGTTGGCACTCCTGCCATGTATGAATAAAATATCTGCATGTTTTTTTTTACCTGCATTGCTCATCCATCCCATCAGAATCTCTGCTGATGTCATCACTTGTATAGTATTTGTAGCAAGACTGGAGAAAGAGAAAAAAATGCGATCACAGATATGTCAGGGATACAAGCAAAATGTAACAAGATCTCTTGACTTGCCTACCTTGCAAATGAGTACTTTGAGCACTGGATGCTCATACACAGAGTTGCGCTGGAACTGGATTACTTGTTTTCCACAAGCAGTGCAGCTCACCTTCTTCTGCAGGGTGTCATCTGGAACGACAGAGGAAAAAAAGTCACTCTCTTGCATGTAGTTTTCTCCCTCGTTCTCTGTAGGTATTTCAAGCTGACCTTTTCTTAATACATGCTAAATCAGTTGTGCACACTGAAATATCAAACAGTACCTGTTTTCTTCTGCTTGAAATCCACTCTGAGCTTCATGGCACCTTTATTCTCATTCCCAGATGGTCTTATCACCAAAGTGCCTAAAAAACAATGCCAAAACAATAAATAAATCCTAATTTCTTTCATCACCTGCAAACACAACAAGTGCTGAATGGTTCCTACCTTTAGACGTGCACCCTGTTTTACTGTCAGATGGATTGTCTGAAGTAACGTCTTCATTTTCACTTTCGGATGATGCCTCAGACTCTTTTTGTCCAGTGTTCTTAGCTCTTGTGGTAGGCCTTCTGAAGCAGGAAACATTAAGATGTTAAAATGCCTCTGGGTAAACAACACTATCGGAAAGCAAAGTGCCAGCTACAGGTATTTTGTATAAAAGTGCTCCTCACCTCTTGTTCCGTGAAGAATTCATACTGTCTACAGAGCTCCCAGGCTTCTAAAAAAAGAAAAACAGAACTTATGTAAAGACAACTTACCAATTAAGAGCATGGAAATTGACTGGAATTAACAAACATATTTACCTCCTCTTCCTTCTCTGCCATTTTGTCTAGTTTTGATTCAGAAACGGACAGACTCATCTTACCTGTAGAGACATAACACATTAGTTTAAACCTTGAACATACTGATAGACAGTTTGGATTATCTTTTAAAAACGGCATCACCAGCTAGTTTATTACTCATTTCAAATTAAAACTGATTATTTTAAAAGTGTCTTATTTATGTGAGCAGACCGAGAGAATCGTGTAACACTAATCTATAAAACAAAACAGAGAAGCTATAATGAACACTGTCCAATAATTAAAACAAAGAATTCATTATTAACATTAAAATAAAGTTTTTGATCCAGAAATTGGGGTAAATACACTCTTACTCCTTGTAAGCGTATATAGTTTTAAGTAGTATGTCATTTAAGTTTACCTGATGCTGGCAGATTAATGAAGGGTAACACTGGACCCAAGCATCAGTTGTTATTAGCAGCAGTACTCGTTATTAGGCACAGTTCAAGAACACATGAGTATTGTGTGTGCTTTCTTTTGCTCAAAAAACAAAAACTTTTTTCAAAAACAATCAAATCAAAATGAAAACAAACAGCAGATCTTTAAAGATAACATACACCCAAAAACAACAGTAACTTTTACCGTTTTATTATTTGTTAGTTTATTTTGTTGTTAATAATTTAAAACATTTCTGCTGTGTGTTTTTTATATTACTGTGTAGTATTTCTGCCACCCTAATCCTGCTCTTTGTAGTTTATTTCTCCTCGACAAAGCCTTTCCGGGTTTTGACAACACAGAAACTCGTGACTTGCAGGTATGTGAGAACAAAAAGCTTCTAGATATTAGCAAGGGTTGGCATTTGGCTGGCATTGCCCCAGCATCGCAATCTTGCCAGTGCATAGGGGGTCCTGTGCATGGGCATGCACGATGCATGCACGGGCCTTTCCTCTGTCCATATTCCATGGCACTTGCCCGCGCATTATCAGAAGCCTGGCAGTGCTTTACTGCAGCCAAAGTAGCACCGCAGTGTTTAGCTAGCGACACTGTGACACAACTACATGCAATTCCGTCACCACTCACTTTTTGGGTCTTTAACTGCATAGTAAAACGCCTCAAAATGTCCGTGGAGGCATGTAAATATTCATCTGCGCGACATCTAACATTGCCGGCTGCGTAGCTAATTGCTACCATTCACCTAGCCTAGCTTGCTAACTAGCACTGATGGGCCGGCTTACGGCTAGCGGAGGTAGCACCGTAATCAATGCATAACTGACTTGTCTAAACAAACAGTATAAACAACGTTCCTACCTGCTCCCCAACGTCGTCATTTCCTGACAGATACACACGAGTTTTGCTTTCACTACAGGCTACTTGTTTGCATCCAAAATTCAGATTTCCGATGGCTTGGAAGCAAAAATAAAGGCTGAAAACCGAAAGAACTCCAGTCAGGAGAGACAAAGCAAGGGGACCATCTTGCCGGATGGCTGTGGACGCAGTAAAATGGCGCATCTAGCCTCAATCCAGTGCGTCTTCCCATTGGCTGGCTGCCTCAGAGGATCTGCTGCTTGGATTGGTCGAGGATCTCTCAGCGGTATTGATTCGTCAGACTGAAGGACCAAAACATTTCCTGTAGAAAGTAGAACGGAGCGTCGGGTGCCCATGCTGGTATCAGGCTCATATCCTTTTCAGTTATTTGTTGATACTGTCTGAGGCATGTTGTTTTCTCAACCTGTAAAAGGGTGGAGTAGTTCGGTATGTCTTGTGAAACTGACGGGTATTTAAAGTTGTATTAGTCAATTACCTTTAGAGAATAGAGTCTACATTTGTGGGTATGCGTTGTTTTCCCTTAATTTTAAGGCATATTAGGGCCCAAAGCATATCTGGCCATATTTGGAAGTTTAAAAAAAAAACTAAAAAACAGTTCAGTGTGGATTTACCCAGCGTCCATGTTTGTCTCTACTTCTCTACATCAACTTAAAATAAAGCTGCATTCACAGTATCTCAAAAGTAGGGAATCCAAAGTCACCCAGTAACAGCAAATTATCTTCAGTGGTTGTAAAGATCATTCAACCAAACCAAGAATGGATAATACTGTTCTACCAATTCATGTTTTATATGCAGGCCTGAAAATATGGCCTGTAAAATTTTTCAGAAAATATTTTCCATTTCCCTTTATTCAATTCAGATTTGCTGGGGTTTGTCCAATGGAGTATAGCCAATTTAAGATATATCAGCTGAGGTTTGACAAGATCCAGGGTCCCCCACCCTGGACAGGTATCCAGTCCTTTAGGAACAAGAAAAAGAATTGTACATACTCTCAGTCAACCCAAACTTCTGGTTAGAAACCCCGGTTAACATGCTAAACTGTTTAGAAACAACCCATCCATACTTACCAAAGGCATGCAGACAGGCCCTTTCAAAGTTTCAAACCAGTAGGAAATGATAAAGTGTTTGAGCAAAACATGTGCGAGCCCAACAAAGAAAGAGGATGCAAAACAGACACACATAGTAGTTGATGAGGATTAACTGACCAGCTCTCTTGTTCTATCACATTTGTTTGGTTCTGCGTGTGACATTTAACCTCCTCTCCTTCATTTTTCTTACCCCGGAAATCCTATCTGACCTGGCTTCCTGTTTGCTTCGTCATTAACTCTCTTAAGTACACTGGGACATTCATAAATCCATCACCTTGCCATCATATTATACTAGCTTCGTAACTCTCTTCATCTTCAGTCTCGCAAACCTGTGAGAGAAACTCACAGAGCAACATAGAGCTTACACAATTTTTATACTTGTACTTTTTTTCCTGTCATGCTTTTAAATTATGGGTGTGTCATGTTCTTTATACGCATAATCCCTTGAGATAGAGCCCAATAGATCACCAATCTATGTATACCATTTTCAAATCCAGAATTTAAATTTGGGTTACATTCTTAAGTAATTTACTAATCAAGTTACTTTTTACAGAGGTCAAGTATAAATAATGTTTTTAGTGCTCAAAATATGAATAAAATGGTTTGCATTCACAATAAACTTTAAACTGGTAATTTGAAGGTTGAAATATTGAATACCTTCACCTGCAAATGAAATATGAGCAGACCTTTCCATCGTGAGTCAGAGAATAAATTGGAATTGAACTGGAAAGTCCCACATATGTACTCTAAATCCTAGTAAAAATGGAGATGTTGGGCAGAAATCCATCAAAATGTACGTTTTCAACTGAACTCAGTTTGAGTCTATTCTTTGAAATGTTATGTCCAATATCAAATCCATTTTATGAAAAATGTTGTTGATTTTTAAAAATCTTTACATGCACAAATAAATCGACTTGAGAACTGATCTCTGGTGTTTCAAAATTAACTTTGAAATTGGGTCCGTGTTTGGACTTTTTAAATGAACACATGCTAGGGCTCATATTCCAAACTGTCGATGGCGCAAAATGCACATTTTATCAAAAAAGTGGTACCTTGGAAATTTGAACGTATAAGATTGTGTAAAGATATCAGCCCTAGTTCGTTTTTGCTTTTCATCATAGCATGAAATACTTGTTTGAATTTTCATGTCAGCAAATGCAGAGTGTATTTTCCAACCTGGGGATTTCTCTGTTAATCACCATGTAAGAAAATATAACAAAAGGATGCAGCTTGTGTTTATTGTCTTAGATGCACAAAGAAAGGAATTAGTCAGTAGTTATGTTTTGAATCTGTATGGTTAATTGATTTAGATTCATAAATCCATATATTCTTAAACAATCCCTCTTGAAAAATTCTTCGTTAAACTTGATAATCACTGATTTACAAACTTTTTTTAAAAAACTAAAGGTCTTTAAAAAAAGCCTACAAAAATTCAGATTGTCAGTCAGTTTTTTCCGCTTGTGTGGGATGAAGTTGAGAAACTGACTCCAAATATTTCCCATCATAATCATTTTTATGTGTCACACAGGAAGGGGCTAATTGTAATGACAGTATTACCTATTAATCTAATAATAGTAGTGTCTTCAGCAAAGCGACTCACTGCCTTTTTCATATAACTGAATTGAATTAGTTCTGTTTGCGCTTTCCCAGTTTACATTTACCTAATGCAAAAATAACCAAAAATCAGAAGGAAGAAAAAGGCAGATTATTAGAGGCAGATATCCAAAATACCATGACATTCTTGGAAAATTTGATGGTAACATTGATAAATTACACCTCATCACCTCATCCTGTCCAAATTAGGTGTTTTCCCCCTTTGACATGTCTCTTCTGTGGTCACAGTGTCAAAGTGACGCCTATATATGTGTAGAAGCAGCAGTGAGTAAGCAGAGGGCTTACTGCTCAACCAGACAGCAATTAGCTTAGGTCGCTTAAGAAGACATGAAAATGTTCCGCATTCATCATTTTACACTGATAATGATGATGGTTGTGTTGGTGTATGCAGCATCAACTACACCAGACCATAAAAAAACACTATTAAAGGATATTAAAAAAGAAGCCAAGAACTTGTCAAAGCAAGTGGTAAGAAGACTTCAAACTTCATTTCTATATGTTATGTTTGTCTGATAAAATAATAACGCACTTTATCATTTTAGCCGGGCAATATAATGGTGACGAAGGTGTATTCAGATAAGCAAACATGTGTGGTATGTTGGAAACCTTACTTATTTTCTGAAATGATTTTAGAGGTGATTGATTGCTGTCATTTAAGCCATTCATTCATATGAATCTTTAATTCAGTCAAAAACTAATTTTAGAGCGTAACTTTTTGTTATCCATTGTTTTCTTAAAAGGCTAGAAAAATGTATTGGTTTCCCAAAAAAACAAAAGATTGAAGTTTTAAAATGTGTTTTTGTTTGGGAGTTGTTTTATGTAAATGCTCAGATCTTTCAAGGCTAATTCATTACTAACTCATACTGGAAAGATACCACTTGTAACTGTGTTTTTTCTCCTCTCAGCCTGGATTCTTCTGTTTGGCTGAGCAGGCTCTGAGAAATGCTACACATGTCTATCCAAATATGAACAAAGATCTATTAAGACTCACCAGGATGCTTCGACAATACAACAATAAGGTACATATACTATTATTACTGGCCTAATTCATTTGACAACCCCAATCAAGCAATCCTTCTGGTTTTGCACTGTCTTCAAGTGACTTTTATTATAGCAGTTGAGAGATTTCATCTTGGATGTTTGTATATTTTCAAGTCTGTGTGCAGCTGAAGATGGATTTTAGGAGATAATACAAATTACTTTATTTTTTCCAGACCGGGGAAAACAGTTGTCACCCGAGCATGACCCACAGAAGCACCTATACTATAAAAAAATTTCTGATGGATGTGGAGAAGTGTGTGGACTACTCCCTAAACAGAACAACCACATGAAGCGATTACATCAACATCTATTTAAAATATATCAAAGTTATTTATTGCAATGAATTATTTATTTTCACCTTTTTGTGACTTTCATTTAGCAGAGTTTGTATTTATGTCAATAAATTAAGATGCAACAGTGGTCCTTTTTTAAAGATGTCTTTTTTTTATTACAGTAAGGCTGCTTCTATTCTAACATGAGGGATAAGCACGACAAATAAAACATCAATAAAGCTCACAACTGCTCTGCACTGCAGAACAAGACCTTGATGTTAGCTGACCTATTTATTTCTTCTTCTTTCTTTTTTTTTTAAATGAAGTCATCAGCTGAATACTTTTTTTTTTTAAAACTCCTACGGTAGGGCACCGGCAAGCAGCTGTCATCTGAAAGGGCTTGGAACAGCCGGGGAAATGGAACATCACGGATTTGATCATGAGAAAGAGAAGGAGAGAAACATGCAACAAAGTGAGACGAGACATGTAAAATAATTTAATAAATAAAATCCAAGGGTTTATCGGTGTAAACATTTGACATACATTATGATACAGAATAAATGTCAGTTCGTGTCCCCTCCAGAACACCTTCAAATCAGATTATCACACAAAAACTAGCAGTAGTGTTTCATAGTTAGGTATACAGTATGCATGGCGTACAGTGTCCTGACACCTGAAAAGAAAAACACGACTTCTTATAGAGTAGCAAATGGCATGAGAAAAAAAAGCTGGCTAGCATGCATGCCACTATGCTTCTGACCCATTACACGCACAAGTTTAATTTACAAATTCAGTACAACAACTTGAATCCTCCGGTTTCCACTTGATTTTTTTTATATTGAACTGAGCAAAAACAGTAAGGCTTTTACTTGTTTTAAGAAGAGAATACTTTTTCCATTACAGTTTCAGCTGAATGCATTCAGTCTGAATTCGACAGAAAACCTTTCGCACTGCACTCAGTCAGCAGAACATTAGTCAAGACTTGATAGTCAATTTCAGACGGTGCAAATGCTTTGAACTTTGTGAGACATAACCACATTTCAACTTGCCGCATCCTGACTAATGGCTTCTTATGAAATTCTGAAATCTTAAAGAAAGAAAGAATCGTTAAAACATCAGGCAAAAGGAATCATCCTCTGCGTGAGTTTAAATCCACAGTGCATGTAACAAGTTTTATTTTTAAGTGGTCTTTTTTCCATCGCAGATTCAGCTCCTTCACATCAACAACTTGACCCGCTATATAGTGTATGCAGAACATTTTATAATGTTCAGCTATGAACAGGACTAACAACTTATTTAAGTTAACATGAAAAGGAAAGGTAGACTCTTCTGCAGCATCATCACTGAAGCAGGGATTCGATCACAGCGTCTGGCTTTGCAGACCTCTTCCTGTGTGGAGATTAAGGGCAAGATTAATGTTTTCATCAATGTCATCTTCCTCACTTCTCAGAAGAGCTGATAACCGCATGCTAAAGATTCATATCAACATGTTCAAATAATCTGTTATCAACACAGTGCTGTTAAATATTTGTAATGACAAATAATTAGTAATAATCTCTTGGAGTTTTACTACTTGGGCTAAGATGGGGAATAAAATTAAAATACAAAGTACAAAGACAGTGAGCTAAATTGATGTGAGCACATATTCATTCATTCCAAAAGAATCATGTTTTCAGCTTTTGAAAAAAAACAGTTTGTGCTTTGTGTCTTTGTACATTAGGGTTGAATCAGAGAAATATAGACAAATTAGAATAAGACAAATGTAATGCAACCAGGAAATGGACACACATTGGATTTTTTACAGCCATCTAAAGCTATCGATTAAGAATTAATTTTATAAGTTGTTCAATCCCTCCATCACTCATTCCGGGGTTGGGGCCTGCAGTCTATCCCAGCAGACAACGGGCAGGAGGCTGCCCCTCACTCCACTTGGATAGACTCTACCTGAACAGGTCGACAGTCCATCGCAGGGCCACACAGAGACAAACAACCACACAGTCACTACTGAGGGCACTTTGGACATGCATGCTTTTGGATGGTGGTGGGAAGAAGCCGGAGAGAACCCACACAGACACATGGAGATCATGCAAAATCCACACAGAAAGGTCACGGTTCCCCGGGGACTCGAACTGGGACCCCTCTTGCTCTAAGGCTAACCACCACACCACTGTGCCGCCCTGAGAAAAAGCTGTCTGACAAATCGACATTTACAGGAATGTTTAATCTAGCAGATAAACCGGTATTGACGTAGACGTCCCTCTACCCATCAATCATGATAAGAAACAACAAGAAAATATCTTACCATATTAACACTCGGGGTCAAACAGGATGTTCTGTTTCAACATTAATCTAACTTGAAAACCATTTTTTTAATTTGAGGTCATTAATAGTTATTGGCTGTCATGCTACTCTGTTCTGGTTCCTGAGCAAACTTGTGTTCAATCTTTTTTTATTGTGAAATAATGTAGCCAATGGGAACATGATGGTTATCAACACACCTCGATGACAGAAAGAGCACGCATACAAAGAGCAATAAAATAAGATTAAACTAAATGCATTAATTCATGTGACAAACATAAATGGGGGCCAAAGTCTGGCGGCTGAACGGATAGGTTTGTACCTCCGTCCAGTCTTGGGTCGGCCACTCTTGCTGCTTTTAGAGGTTCTGGGTCTCTCTAGTTTCTGCAGTGACTGCCGCATGCTCTCTTCTGTATATGCTAGATACACATGGGATAGATCCACCTCGAATGGCTACAGGCAGCAGAGACAAAAGAAAAGAAACCATAATGAGGTCAATATCAAATTGCCAGCTAAGCAAAATGGGAAAATTGTCCAGAATTTGATCTTTTTATCCAAGACAATTGCCTCCAACTCACGTCTTTTTCCTTTTTATCTGGAGCAGGAGTCTGTTTCCTCATGTTGTTGCCAGTGTAAGCCACACATTTCTGAAAGCATCACATACAGCACTTAGACACAAAGAAGTTAAAGGGAAAAATTCTTAACCGGGACTGGCTCCATTATCAACTAACTTTGAGTGCAGTGGGTTAACATTGGAGAGAACAAGAGAATCAATCTGTGAAAGATTAAAAAAACAAATGCACGAATATCAAAGAATAAGATTGGAAAAGACTGATTTTCTTCAGTTACTTTCTGCCTTGCTTCCACTTATCAATGTGACATTTGTTTTCCTTTCGTTATTTCGTAATTGATCTAGCACCCCTCCCTTTGTGAGTGAAACTAACCACTATGTAATGCATGCAAAGTCTATCACATCTAGACTGTGCTGCGTAAACCTGGCAGCCACAAACCCACAGAGGGGGGGCAATCCTCGGCTGCTCCCATTACAACACAATGAAGGCACTGTATAGGACTAGGACACTTCTTGTTGTTCATGCTACTAAGAAGAGAAGAGACAAGAAGAGAGCTCATATGGGCTTGGTGTTCGTGCACATCCTGGCGCTTATCTTGTGGTAATATAACTCTTGTGGTGAGTTTCATAATACGTTAGCCTTAAAGTTGCAAGTTCAAAACTGCAACCTATGGAGGACACTCTTTTTCTTACTTTTCAGAGTAGGATTCAAGCAAAAGTAACTGGCATCACAAGCTTTGGCTAAAGCAACAGCAACAGAAAGATATTACATGAGAAATAGAACAGAGAAATAAGCAAGGAGCTTAAAGGAGCTTAAAAAGTGGGGAAAAAAGGAAAATGTAGCTATGCGGACAGATTTTCTTTTTTCTTTACTTTTATATTTCTAAATGTACTTTGTTCTCATTCATTCTGTAATCTATTTTTATTCACACGTCCCCAATTGCTTTCTTAATCTATAATGGAAGTTATCCCTTTTGTGGTATCAATCTTTCCAAATTGATCAGCTTTACAAAGTGATCTTACCAGCTGCCATTCTCCAATGTCTTCATTCCAGTGCACATAATTTTCTATCATCTCCTGTATGAAAAACATGAGAAAAAAAAACAATTATACATAAGTGTCTTTTAAAATATTTAAATTCAAAATAAATTAGGCATCATCAAAATATCATGCTAGTAAGTCAGTACATGTATATCTGATGTTAAAGGACACACCTGGTATTCCTGAGGAATAAAGTTGTCTATGATCAGCATCTGGAGTCGCAGTTCTCGGCTCAGCTGGCGGATGTTTTCCAAGAGCCCTTCAATCTCTCTGTTGTGTTCTTGCTGTAGGTCTGCCACCTAATGGATGAGGAAAAACACAGGGGATCAATGTCAATCCATCCCCTGTTCACAAACTTGTGATGTCTTTATTCCAAGCACACAGATTTTCAGATTCTTCACAGACCATATCCACTGCGTTTAGAAAATATAAATATGCACTACTTTTACAAAAGGCTTTTAAGCATAAAACATTCCCTATATTAAAGGGCAGGATAAGTCAAGGGGTCTTAAACTGAAAAGGAAATCATCAATAAGTAATTAAAAAAAAAGAAAAAAGATGCACAAGAAACTAAGCCAGCATGTTTAAAATGGTCACATGGTGTCTGGGGAGGCTGTTTCACTCAATACAGGGCACTGCTGCAAGCAGGACTGTAACCTTAAACTGTTGTATGGGTCATGTTTCTACTGCAGAATGCTGCAGAGTTCTTTGAAAAATGCTGGGTGACTCTTTTTTTCTCTAGAAGGCCTTAGTTATTTCAGTGGGACTGTTTCAGCAGCTGATGTTTTGTATTCGGCCAGAATGGACTCGGATTCCTCTTAAGAACAAAAACACGTGGAATCCTTCCTTTCGATGCAGGTTATTAAAAGAATGGTTGCTACATTTCTTTCAAATGATTATTTTACATCTTGTCAGCATGCCTCTATGAGAACATCTCAAGATCTATATTTCATTAAAATGGAATTAGTTAATAAGGGAGTTTATCACATTTTCTTTATGTCTTGCCTAAAACTAAGGTTTGTATTTTCTAAAGAAGGGCCCTGGTTGTGCTCTCTGTCAGCAAATGTCTTTGAAGTTATGCTTACTTCTGATTTGGCAGCCATTAGCATGGTCCATACTTTCTTGAGCTTCTTGGTCTTTCCTTGAGCCTCCTCCTGAAGGCTAGTGTACTTCTCTTCTATATCTAGGCGTTCTTGCTGTTTTAAGAGGGAAAAGGGTCATATAAAGCATCTGAACACTGGTCCTTCATGGGTCGATAAAGAAAGTGAAAGCATGAGTATGTGGCAAAAGCAACATTCAAGCATTCACTGCAAGAATCTAAATTCTGTTAGAATCAAGTAATGTGGTCTTCAGCAATATGAGAACTGATTAGCATGCTAACTTGATAAGGAGCTCGACTGTGGCCATGTTTTTCTCTACCTCTTTCTCCTCAAGCTCCTTACGCAGCTGCTCTGCTCTCCTGCGCCGCTCTTCCAGTTCATTGTTTGACTCCTCTAGGAGCTTCTCTTGCTCCTCAGCCTTGGCCAGAAGATCTACTCCACCTACAATCACTTTCTTCTCCAAGGCTGATAGTTTCTCCAGCAGAAGGTGATGCTCCTGCCTAAGAGATCAAACGTCTCTGTTATCTGATAAGTGAATACAACTTAACATCACATGTTTAATAAAAAAAAAGAAAGATCCTTTTGGTTTCTTTTCATAGACTCACTGTGCTTTCAGAAGGTCCTTCTCCCTTTTCTCCAGCTCTGCTCTTGCCTTGTTCCTCTCCTCCTCCTCCATGTCCAGCTTGGCCTCCAAAGCCTTTCTCTCCTCCTCAATCTTGGCCTGCATCTCCACCATTTTGTCTGGAGAAACCTTCTTCCTTCCTAAACCGATACAGCATACCATACACTGTGAAATATGTATATACTATTGTTTCAAATACAAAGGAATTCCTATTTCACCACGATTACATGGTACTATGTTGTCAGTGCAGCAGATTAGTTTATACATTTCTAGTTTAACAGGCAACTTTGTGAGTTTCTTGAAGCAACCACAACACCCAGTGTGCCACAGGCATCAACTGCACAAAGTCCTTATCAGCAGATGCATTATTAGTGGAACGGAAACCAAACCACGACACAAAAAACAAACGTAAAATATTATAATTGTGATTGTGTAAAATTAGATCAGGAAACATACAGACAAAATGAAAAAAAGCTATAAGTAAGCCAGTAATTAGTGAAGTAGCTACAGTAGCTACAGAAGCAGGTGGTGGCCATCATGTTCGTTTATGTGAGTAAAGTCACCGTTGCTGCATGACACAGAGATCATGTATATTCGTAGACCAACCTCTTTCTTCTTGAATTAAAAGGTGCATAGCATGTCAGGTGGCATCATTTGCACCAGGACGAAGAGAGAGAGAAAGAGCAGCACATTACAAGAGTGATCTTGAAAGTCGTAATGACGCTACAGAGTAGGAAACCAAGTACAGGGGAGGAAGTGGGAGCAAATCAAAGAGGAGGAAGTAAACTTCTTGTCAACTCACTAAATGCCAGTCCACAGGCAGGAGACAGAGTTAAAAAAAGATTACCACATCACAGAATGAATGTGGGACAATTATGTTTTTGAGGTTCAGCGCTTTCAAGTAAAACAAGGAGGTGTAATGGGGGAAGGCTGGAAGTGATGATATGAAACTGTCATGCTGAAACAGCCCATGATGTCAAAAGTGCTAATATGTGAAAATGAGACACACCCAACAGAGAAGGATCAGAGTTCAATAGGGCAGATATTCTGAATTCATAAGATGAATAAACCGAGGGAACTTAACCAACACTGTGAAACATTTGAGAACACCAGGAATCTAAGATAAGTTTGGCCCATTGAATGGAAGGTGGTCAACAGCAGTGAGAGATGCTGTGCTGTGAACCAATAGGAGTGACACAGACACGAGGAAAGCATAAAGCCCCTTTCACACATGATTGAAACCCCTGAATAATGTGCAAAATTCTCCTCTGCCAAATTACACAGTGGCAGTACAATATCTCACTGCATCTAAAGTCTTTAGTCAGCTATCTGATAAACTCAAGGAAGAATCTCTATACCACACTGATGAGTGTGCGGGTATATTCAATGACAATTTACATGGTATGGAACCACATTCATGTAAAAAAAGGCAAACTACCTATCTAAAAAGGAAATATCTTAGATGACTCAATCTGTAGATTAGAACTCAAGTCAATAGGAAAACCCCTGCAGGCACTAGAAAAAAGCTGTACTTCCATACTATGACATCCCTACACTGACTAACCACCAACATTAGACAAAGAGTTATCCAACACAAGGACTGACTAAACCGTGCTCATCATAAGCAGACAAAAAAACAGACTGGATTTTTCTTTGTGTTGTTAAAACTCAATTTTATGGGCAACATGTGTGAAAAGGGCTAATACTGGTGGGCAGGTGGGTTGGTGAGCAGACTGCTGCTCCAACTCACTATCCTGAGGTTTGTCCACAGTGGGCGGTGGCACTGAGGAGTTGCAGGTAATTTCTGAGCTATTAGTGCTGCTGTTACTGCTACTGTCTGCAAAAGAAGCAAAAGAAGCACCACAGCCAACAAAACCCACAGACAGAAATGAGAGGCAAAAGGTTGCAAAGGATCTCAGACTTTCATTTGAAGTTTTAGCAATAAATCTGGGCATAACCAAACTGCACACCGTTTGTTGCATGTGCTTAACTTTCATCCACTCACACACACATTCAAGCAGCTATTCGTATCGAATATCAATGCAAGAATACAACCAGTGGACTGAGCCATGACGTCTGTTTGGACAACGACCATCCCACTAGCTCAGCCACACTCGACCAGACGATTCATTTATGAGAAAACATTTTGGATGCATAATAGCTTATTAACTCCACAAAGTTTGAAGATCTTTTGTATTTTTTTCTAAAAATAAAAGCACACTGACACCTAAGTGGTGAACTTATACAAGTGGCAACTGGAATTTCTAACCAAGGTGTGATTTAAAGCTTTGAGGAAACTGTTGCAAATGTGACGAAAGCAAAGTGCTTACTCAGTTCAAACATCTATAATTTCCAGTGCAAAAGATGGGGGAACTCCTAGATTGGCCCACCATTGCACACATAAAACGTTTGGCATTTATTTCAGCTTGTTAAAAGATTAGAAGGAACAAATAATGACTTAGATTAAAATTAACAAGTTGAAAAGATATCAAACTAGGGGCCAGAGGGGAAAAAAATAGGATGGTTATTTCACCATAAAGAAAAACGCACAATAAGCAGAACCAACAATCAAATGGTAGCGCTGCTTATGAAACGCTTACCCCTTTTTCTCCTGCGGCCTTCTCCTGCTTCTGCTCCTTCATCATCACCTTCGTCCATCTCCTCTGATCCACTGCCGTCTGAGCCAGAAATCTCTTCACCTTCAATAGCAGAGACATTTTGCTAGGACACCTTCAAGTCTCCTTAAAAAACTTTTACCAGTTTAATGTTTAAAACAACATACCCTCTTCAAGCTTCTTCTTCAGCTCTTCAATCTCCTTCTGAAACTGCCTTAGCAGGGCGTCCTTGGGGTCCTCATTTATTCTGGCCTTGTTTTTGATGTTTTTAGCTCTATTAGCATAACGCAGGGTGCTGATGGTCTCATCATAGTTGTAGTCAGCTGGGCCTATGTTGGCACACTGGTGATTGAAAATTGTTACATAAATGATAAGGAATAGATTGTAGTGTGAACCTTGAGAGTGTTTGTGTTTTTCATTAAGTTTTTTTTTTTTTTTATGGATACAAACTTTCACTCAGATTAACAATTAACAGTTTAAACAAAGCAACTCAATTTACAATCCAATGAAAGCAGCACTAGTGAAATTGGCACTGAGGGAATCTTCAGCTGTACCATCATGGTTTTAGAGTTTCCTCCGAGTGAATCCTGCAGCAGGCGGGTGAGTTTTGAATTCCTGTAGGGAACGTGCGTGCTCTTGCCGTCTACCAGGGCAGAGATGACGTTACCCAGCGTGGAGAGGGAGAGATTGATCTTTGTTGCTTCCTTCAAACGCTGACCTGTGGCTCCAGTCTTGCCCTGTCTCTCGGAACCCTGTGGGAGGTCAAATATGAGTGGTTAATGAATTAGTGGAAGCCAGATGGAACGCCAAGTACAATAAACACCATGGCAATACATTTTTAAATAGGTTGCACTTCTAAAAACTATAAAACAGAACCACTTTGAAAGAAGGAAAAACAAGAAGCATTTTTCTTCATGTGCAGATCTGTTGCTTGTATTTTCCTTCTTTATTAACCAGTGCCATAAAAAAAACTTGCTACATTGCTTTCTTTTTGCAAGATACTATGTTATTTTATTTTTAGGTATACATACTGCCAGATCAACGAGATGCAGCTTCCCCATGCGCACATGCTGGTTTCCATCCACCCCCTTTTCACTGCACTCAATGGTGATGGTGAAGATAGCATGAGAACGGGAACTGTGCTCATTCATGTTTGTAGCACCCACAGAGCCTAAATGTAGGAAAACAAGATCTGATCAGGTCATACTTCTGAAAATGATCTCTGGATTTTCTTATGATAATCCTGAGGATAATTCTTGTTCCCTTAATTAACTAAGGGACCAAACCAAATGAATTAATTTGGTTCATTTTTAAGAACATTTCCTTCTAAAAAGACCATTTGATACCATGGTGACAATTTTTCCACATTTTCTCCGGGTTTTGCTTACGGTTTTTGTGGCCCATTGTCATAATTCTGTCCATGTCGTCAGCATTGTTCACAACGTAACCAGAGAGGTCCTTGATATAGACACCAACATCTGGCCTTTCTTTCACCTGGATAGAAAAAAAAAAACTCAAGTTAAAAGTCACATTAGCTCAGTAAAACTGCGATTGTGGCTTTTTCTAAATCTTCTGATGTACACAAAATGATTCCACTGCCCTTTAAGATAAGCCATCCAAGACAGTTTTACTCTCAGTCAGTTAAAGTTTGAACATCCTGTTACCTCTAGCCTTTGCATCTGGTCCTTGCCCAACAAGTCCCGCACTTCCTCATTGTAAATTTCTAGGTACGAAACGCGAACCAAAAACCTGTTGAAAGTGATGATGTAAAACACATTAAACTAGTGCTGAAATGTAACATTTTTCCTTGCAAATATTTAAACTGGATGCCTTCACAGAGATCTTTGAACCAAAAAACATGCTCCATGACATCCATTTTAATCACACCAATGAAGGAAATTATGCACTTTAATTGAATTATTTTGCAAGTATTAACTTAAGGTATTAAGTAATACTCATACTAACTAATATGAAATCCATGAGGTAACAAATTCAGCAATCAGATTTTATGTATTTGATTCATTTGTTTGTTGCTAGATGCTAGCGGAAGATGATCTCTCACCTGGTGTCACCCTCTGCCTTGGCAATATGACCAAAAATATGAGCAAAAGAATTTGGGATTATCCCCCTGAGCTCTGGCACTGCTCTCACACCCTCCATTGTGAATGTTTTTCCTGTGCCAGTTTGTCCATATGCAAAGATTGTTCCTGAATAAGATAGAAGACAAAACTTACATCAACACTATCTATTAAGGTAGTTAAAATTGACCAACAATAATTGTGAGTCCGTTAAGGCATTGAGCGCATTTTCAAAGCGTTTTGCAACAATGTCTGCAGCAACTAACTGCTATGACACAGAAAAAGTCAAACTTGTCATGTAGATGGTACCATTGTATCCCTCTAATACTGAATCAACGATGGGGCGGGCTGTGAGATTGTAGACATCGAGCTGCTTGCTGTCAGGTCCAAACACAGTGTCAAACGTGAAGGTTTTGGGGGGCTCATGAGGGGTCTCCAGCTTGTTGACCGTAATGGTTCCACGGATCTCGTCCACTACGACGGCCTGCTTGTGGCCCATCATCTTCTCTTTCTGATTGAACGGACGACATCTCACCACAACTTTGACAGTATCGCTGACTTCCTGTTTCTCAGGCTTATTGCTCTGAAACAAATAAGATAGACCAAATATTTATGACAAGAAACCCTTTCAGCTGTTGGATTTGGATTGTACTCGGCCAAACGTATTCATTGATAGTCAAAAAATAAGGTACAACCTAAGATGGAGAGAAAAAACAGATATGTTGCATTCCTTGTCTTGAGTTGACCGATTTGTTTTAAAAGGGTCAAATTAATATCATCAAGCTAGAAGCTAGCCAACGATGTCTACTCGGCCATTATCAGTCGCTGGCTTACCAGAAATGCTTGTGGTACAACTGATGATTACGGGGACTTACAGGAAACCACATGCAGAAATACAATCTCTGATGACCGATACGACTCAACCATTTGAAGCATAATAAATCTCCTGTATTCTGTACGAATGAAACCGGTAAGCTAACTATGCTAACCGGCTAGCATCACATCAGCCGGGGAGGAAGGGAGGAACCCCGTTTGCAAACAAAACAAGAACGCAAACATGCGTGGCGACTTACCGGCATAGTGAGGCAAGGCAGTTATAAACTACGTGTGATGATATCTAAAATCCTGGAAAGCCTTGCTCATTTGTCTGCAAGTTACACCAAGGAAGAAATACAACAGCGCTTTGCTCATTTCATCCTCGGTTCATACATCCGATAGCTTGTTGTCAAGGCTGTCTGTGTCGGTCTGCGCATGCGTTGTCGCCCGGAGAACGTATGCTTGGAGCCAGTCATCCGAATTGTAGCATGTTTTCATCATCGACTACAACAATAAATATCTAACAGCATGGTTTTATTGTAGCCGATTCAAATGTCATTTTAACGAAATAACATAATGCCTTAGCACATACAACAAATTAGGGGACAGAAAGCTGGTTACAAAGAGCTGTGGCTGCTAAGAGGCCACAGAGCAATATTTGCTGGGCCCCAAAGTGACTCACGCTGTTAGCTGAGTTTGACATTTCCACCCCCGAGAACTGCATGGCGTGAAGATCATTTGTGTCGATATGATCGTAGTTAACAAATGTATTGAATACATACCCACCTTTATAAGTGATGATTTGCATTGAACTGAAGCTTGTATTTAAATATTTGAAAACTGAACACAAACCCTATCAAATGATGCTATTGTGATACGTCCAGCAGAAATAATAATCATAATAAAACCTAAACTGGACGACAGTTCGTTATTTTAAATAGTTTGGGATTTAGTTTTCATTTCCACTCATCTTAACTGACCTAGAAGGGTGTTTTTGTTCATATTCAGTTTTACTGCTGTGTAAATCTACATTTAAATGGCATTAAACATCCACCATTCAGCCGTTTTCATTGCAAGATGGTTTCTTTTTAACACAGCCCTGCCTTAAGATTACAGCAGATACGATTATTTTTAGACCTAGTCAACTACAAATAAAGATTAAGCCTTCTAACATCATTTTTAAGCAGATACACTACTAAAACTGTCATAATATGTCTTTTCTGCTGTCCACCAGCCAAATTCCTTTTAAACATGTCACTGCCATCAAATTGATAAGTTGTCTCTAATAAACCAAATATAAATCAAGTCTAGTAATAAAATCTATACAAGAAGTTTTGTTTGAAAAACTGAATTTGTAGGTAACATTCAGTTTTAAAGAGACGTTGCCACAGATTGTAAAGCAAGGATTAAATGTTAAGTAATTTGTGTTTACACCAAAAAGGACACAAAAAACCACCAGAGCTCTGTAAGTATATTTTAACACATAAGCAGCTGACATAATACTTGTATATAGTCTCTAAATAAACTCAAATACATATATATATACATGTAAATAGTTTTTCTGTGGATTCTGACAAAGGCACTAACCATTGTGTGTTACATGGGTATGAAATGAGGAACAGTCATGAAGTGGGAATTTAGTGCAAAATCTTACAATTGTACTTGCCACATACATGCGCACACATTGAAAGATACAGAAACGATCTCTCGTAACCATACTCCTGACATCTTTCACTGTATTGTCCCCTGATGTTATTAAACTCTGGATCTAACACACAGTTTTGAATTGACCATTCGAGTCATTTGGCAGTTTGAACTCATTATTGAAATATACACAATTACACCAGAATTACAGTCAGCTGAGCCTCTCGAGGTTTTGAAGAACACTGCTGTGAAATAAGCCTGTCCGCCCGCTGCTTTCCTGAGTGACAAGAACCCGTCCATCAGGCCGGGGTCTGTGGATGAGGACCACTTCTCCCTGAAGCAGGCTGACCTCCGAGTCTGTCTGGGCAAAATGGGTTGTAGTCACTCTGTGTCTGAAAAAAAAGAACACCAAGAAAAATTATGCAATTTTTGTTTTGCCATGTCTTCTTAATCTGTCTTCCCTCATATTTATGTCATATCAGAAACTTGCCCATTTAAACTGGATTACCATCCTTGTCCTGGTATTTATTTCATGGCAGTGGCTTCAAGTTATTTGCTCAAATTAATGCCTTCTGTTGCCTCTAACTTTCTCTGTGTGAGTTCATCCCACAGCCTTGATACACTTAGGTCAAGATCAGTCTACTGTACTGTGAAGTTACATGAATCATGATTTTACCACATAATATTAATTTGGTTAGAAATTCTAAAACCCAAAAATGATGGGTGTGCTCATTTAAGAAAAACCATGTGAGCGATAGCCATTTCTTTGATAATTTAGCCGTCTTACCTTTCACCTACACTACAGTTTTAAAAAATAGATGGCACATGTTTGGAATGCCATGGTCCAAAGGAGCTCAGGTGAGCACATGATACGAAGGAGTGATTTGATCCCGTATCAGTGTCTGTGTTGTGTCTAGACTCATTTGAATAAGTTTCGTGTTGGGTGATTGCAGGCATCATTTTTCGAACATGTTTGCTGCACTTTACACGTGGAATGGAACACACGATGCCAGCATACCTGCTCGGGCTGAACTGAGCTGATAGGGCTGACAGTGAGGGCTGTGAGGGTCTTGCTTTCTGCTGGTAAAAATTTGTATCTGAGATAGCCGTTTCAAGGCCTTTCCTGAGGAAAGGACCTTTTCCTTCACTGAGAATGATCCCTGGTCCGTCTCTCCCCAGGGTGAGCGAAGGGGCCCACACTTCCAGAGGAGGGGGTCCAGGACGGCAGTTGGGTGTAACCTGAGTTCCTGATGACCAAGAGGATGTCCGAAGCCTTGGGGGTGGGGAGTCTTCATCTGTGAGGAACCGCACTGACTTTGGGGGCTGTGGAGAGCAACATTGACACAGATTCAGGTGAACAGGTTCGGAACACTGAATACTGAACGTGGGTCAGAAACTAAAACCTAAAGTGACCTTGTCTGTATTGCTCTTGTGAACGTCGGGTTTGACCAGAATTGACTGAGGCGCGTTTGTTGGCTGTCTGTGGTGCTGAAACGAGGCCTCGGTGGCGTCCCTGTCCTTCAGCGCTGCAGCAGCAGAGGGCGCTGCCGGCTCAGTCATCCAGCCCCGCAGTCTGCTGGAGGTGGACAGAATGTTGCTGTTTTTCTTCCTCTGCAGGGCCGGCGAGTAGCCTGACACCTGAACTTGTGCAAAGTGTTGCGAGTGGGACGGCATATTGAGAGCGGACACATGCGAGGAGTGGTTTGATCCTTGAAAAAGATTCAAATATTAAGAACCCGCCTAAAAAATAAAAATAAAACTCACTGAAGGATGCAAAGAAGAGAAGGATTATTCAAACTCACCTCTATGTGGGTTAAAAATACGCCTCACGGTGTCCCAACCTTGAGAGCCCCCATAGAAGGATGGCTTTGCAGAGCCGGCTGATGACATTCCATGCTGTGCTCCATTTGGCACGGACGACACCTGTCCTGTTGAGTATGTCGTTCCATCACTGTTGACCCTATCAAGTGCAAGGACCACAGCAGGATTCTTTGTAGCTGTGGGTTTCTTTCCAACAACTGTGTTGTACTGAGAGGACGTATGAGCCGCTTTGGTCTCCAGAAGTCTGGCTGAGGTTCTGTGTTTGAGCAAATGGACCAAAAAAAGCGTAAACATGAACTTTCTATATGTCACAACATACAATTTTTTCCCAGTTTGTCCAGCAGCTAGTGTCTTTTTATCGGTGTTTATTTAACACGTGTTTTTCAAAACTCTGAATCTAATAAAAAACTAAATGACTAAATGTGCAAATCTAAATGTTAGTTAAGCTACAGAGTCCTCTCACCGGAGCACAGGTGTGATATAGTTGCCAGGAAGAATTCCCACTTTGCCTGTTCTGAGCGACAACCCACGCAGCCAGCCCTCTTTGAACTTTCCATACACTCCCACCATCTCTCCTTTCCTCAGCTCCAACTCCTCCGGGCGTCGAGGTTTGTAGGAGTACAGAACGGCACAGCTGAGGAGTCAAGCAGCGGCTTTACCTTTGCTGTTACAAGACTTTTTATGCTGCATTTCAAAAGGGCATCCAGGTCACTTAATGTTTCCATCTGTATCACATTCGGCTGTTCATTATCATATCGTTAATATATGGTGTGAAAGTGTGACTCACACACTGATGGAGAGCTGCTGCGTGGAGGAGCTCTTGCTGTCAGCCGAGGCAGCAGGCAGCTGCGGGTTCACCAGAGCCATGGAGATGGTGGGTGGAGTCTCACTGGTCATCTTCTTTTCAGTCTGAAATGCAGGGGATTAGCATTTGCAATTATCATGTGGAATGGAAAGAATGATGCATGGCGCATTATGCAAGCAAATATAGAGAAATTAAAGAGCACAGCACCGCTGGCTTTCTGTGGGAGGCTCTTCTCTGTTTTTAAGGCCATAAGTCACCAGGTGACTGATCAGATCATGAGCTCAGATGGCGTCATTAGAGGGCCCACACACATTTTAACATGAATCCACGTATCTGCTCTGAATTGTGTCCAAAAAAAAGAGGAATTTAGCAGATTTTTACTTGTCCATTATAAGACAAAACATATTTTCTCATAAACCCTAAGTTAAATTAATTCTTTCTATGAAATCATGTTGAGAAATTAACTTTGAACCATCCGAAGCCTCTTTTCTACAACATGTTTTGCTTTAAAAAAAGAAGTAACAACATTTATTGGTTAAAATGTACTTTTGTTTGGGGTATGTTTCCAAGCTTTGTATGAGCTACAGTCACAATCAGAAAAATACTTTCTCATGTAAAAAACTTAGATGAATAAACAGGAGAGATCAGAGGAGCACAGCAATAGATATAGCAAGGAAAATATAGAAAAAATGTTCATATGCTATCAAAAAAGATGGCATCATGAATTTCATTTAAACTGGCTTCCATCTGAGTTTAATAACACTGGGGAATATAGCGTTTGAAGTATTGATTAGTTTTCCTCAGGGGTGCCTGATAATGTTTGGCAGGAAGGTATCATTGAAAACTTATGAACAGTGTGAGAACATTTAATAATAAAAGTTGAGAAGAATTAATTAAGAGACGCAAGTTGTTCTGTCTAGGTGTTCCTCTTCGCCTTTAATCCATTGTGGGGCCATTTCTGAGTTTTAATATCAGCCACAGCCCATTACCTGCAGCACATCGCCAACTCGCAGGTTCGGCCTCCTCTGTCACCTGGCTATTTCTTCCACTGATCTGCCTTATCTAGCTTTAGACCTCTTCACTAAAGTTTCCCAAAGTAATCTGTTACTCTCCTGGCCTGCGGCGGCGGCTTCTCTTATGTTCCAGCATCAGGATAAATTCCCCCACGCCGGCTGCCAAAAGTAAGTCAACGTTTGGAAAGGTGCTTAAGCCATATTTCAATGCTGAGCATCATTAATAAAGAGGGCGCTGCCAGAAATGATGATTACACTCACTTAAGCGGTTACGCCTCTGAAGGTAGGCCTAAAAGCGTCTGCAAGAACAATCACATGTCTGAGATGAAAGTGATGCAATATCTGAGGAATAAAAAACATTTCTGTCAATCTAATAACTCTGATTTGATTAAAACAAAATTGTGATGGTAAAGCTATATAGTACATATAATATATAGAATATATCCCCTAATGTATATTAGTCATGACATCATTTTAACCTCATGAAAAGTACTCTTGAATTTCTCTGCTCCCTAACTTTGTCACCTGTCTCAGCAGTAGAAATGACTTACTGGCTCATTCTTTGAAATATTGAAATGTGTTATTTTAGCTTGTTGATGCAATGATGATGTAAATGTTGCCTGTCAGGAAAAGGAATAAAATATAGATATGTGCAGACTTATTCAGTATTTTATCCTCTAGATCAAAGCTTCTCTATATAAAGCCATGAGGCTTTGAAAACCTTGAAGGCAGCAGACTATGATTCAGTCCTAAAACTTTCAGGGAGTGCCACGAGGGTGAGTCCTACAACCGCTAATGAAGTATATTGCCTCTAATTGCTTTACGTGGGAGGGACTTTAGGTTTGGATTGGATGCTTTTTTAATTTATTTATTATAAGAAGCAGAAATAATTTTGTATAATCCAATACATACTGTTTACATGGGGTTGCCCATAGCATGTTCCTCAGGTCTCCCACAACTACACCACAGCGCAGTCACTATATTATTCAAAAGAACACACAGGAATAACTAAGCTGTTTCTAAATATGTTCAAGTAATGTGGCCTCTCTTGTCAAAGACTGTGTTAAAAACATTCATGCAGTGAAAATAAGCAGACATGACCAGAATAGTAAGAGCCCCGCTGCCCAATAAGAAAGTTACATCAACATAATGATCTTTAATCAGCAAGTTTCTTCCCTCTATCTTTTCTAAAATTATTTCTTTGTTTCATATTCAATTATTCAGTTCTTTTCAAAACTGAAAGACTTCGCTTTAGTCATGCAAAGTCCGGAGGCTTTGACTCAGAGCTAGGGAGGATGTAACTCTCAGTCTCCCTGCTCTCAGTCAGTATGGGGTCATCTGAGTGGCATGGTCACAAACAAACATAGGCATAAAGAATAATTATCCAAATATCCAAATATATCAGCATTGTTGCAAAATCAAATGAATAGTTATGGATAAAAATGTTGGAAAAATAAATTATCTTTCCAGTGTTGAATGAAAAACATCCCTGCTGAGCCTCTTCTTCCTTCAAATTAACATTTTTTTCAAGTTTCAAAACAGTGAAGACAGCATCCAAAATGGGTGGATTTTTTCTTCTTTTTATAACGACATTAGCACTGTCTGTTTGCTATAAATGATTAAAAAATTCTGCATTAAAAATTTAGAGATGTTACAAGGCTACTTTTCTTCAGCTCATCTTACCACAAATATAAAGGCCCTCAAAAAAAAACACACAATAGAAAAAAATATATATCTAAAAATATATATAGACACATGCTTATTATCTGTGCCGGCTGATGACACGTGCACAGCTCCACATCCGTTTGATTACCTGGCTAATGAGACATCAGCCAGCAGACTTGAGATTACACACTGTTTCTCCTTTCTGCTAGCTGTGACCGTTTGTCCTGTTAAAGAAGAGCCGGCAGTCACATGCGTGACATTTCGACTTTTGTCCGGCCTGATCTTGACTCACGATGACATCATGCCAACATCATCAACACTAAGCTCACAAGACCACTGCGGCTGCAGTTCTCTGCAGTCACTCACCAATGACTGAGAGCCCTACGGGCAGGATGGGAAAACGCACAGCTGTCCCTGAGACAAGTTTATAGAAACTTTAACTTATTCTCGGAGAATTTGTTCTTTTAGTACAGCAAATGATTATGAACCCGTTAAACTGCAAACATGAAACAGAATTGAGCATCGCACAAAAGTTATAAGCAGGTCACTGTCTCAGTTGCAAACTGGGTGTAAAGAAACTGTGTATTATTATTATTATCCAAAGCAAGAATTTTAATAATAATTATCAAGATTTGGTTGTGAATGTCCACTACACACTGATGACTGTACTACTGTCAGTTGCACAAAATAAAGATAAAGCCAAAATACAATCAGTTCACACAATTGTAGAGATAGGAAGAGTAAACTCAGCTGGTGTCATGTTCAGTCTAACGGAATAAAATGTTAACTGACTAAGAAATGTTTAAGCATTTCTTCTGTACCATCAATGAGTGAACAGAATGAGAAGTAGCCAGGACATAAAAAGATATGGTATTTATCATTAATCTGCTGTCAAAACAAAAAAAAGAATGATAGTAAAAGAACAGAGTGAGCGGCACCATAGTGATCACAGCTGTATCGCCACTGGAGGTATGTTTCTTCCTATGATTTATGACCACAAAGGTATCTCAGAATGTGATTCTAAAGACATTGTTTTTTTTTCTTTGGTATGAACTCCATCATCCTCTAGAATTAGAATGATATTTGCAATCATCTTTTAATCTTCCAGTTATTACTTTGGCTGGGGACGCCCCCTACCTGTATATGTTGTGATTTCTTTCTGTGCGTCTTTATTATCTTTATATTTACATATATGAGGACAATTGACTACTGAAGAATCTATATGCCCTTACCAATTACAATAAGTAAAAGAAAACAAGCAATATGTTTAAAAAAGAAATATCTCCATCTATTCTAGAGTAACAATCGTATTAGTTTACAGCTCTAGAAATGAGAAAACCACAACGCTGCTCTGAAAACAAATGGGTCAAGATAGATGGAGATTTCTTTTAGCCAACTCTACATCAGTATGTGCAGTCTAAGATTCTTATGCAACGGCAGAGCTTTACGTGGTCAAACAGAAAACACTGATGTAACTTGGTTCTAAATCTGTTGCAGCTCCACACCCTCAGAGACTGATCTCCTCAGATATCAACCCAAGTTTCGAAACTTTAGAGCTCGGCCCTCTTCTATACTTGTGTTTTCTTCTTTCAGTATGTATCAATCAAAAGGATAGAAGAAAATATCCAAAACTAAACGTTTTCAGTGCTTAAATGCGGTCCGTATTCAGGTTCAGTCGATACTGATGAGTTAACAATAATGTCAGGATAACCCAGGTGTGGTCTGGACATGTTTTCGATTTTGGCACATTTCTGTCATAAATTTAGCTCTTACGTAATTATGATAATATTCACATTAATACACATTATTTCATGCACTGTGGGAGGGAAAACAGCAGCTCACCCTGCTGGAACAAGCAAAGCCAGAGGTGAGAGTTGATGGAACGCATTGCTAAGAATAGCACACATGCTGGCTGCAGAGGCTCAGCCTCAGCTTTAGGGACACGGCCCCTCGCTCCCTCAAAAAGGGAAGTGCCAGGCTCTCCAAGCACTCCTGACACACTGATTTGAAAGTGTTACCTGCTTAGTGAAGAGGAAGGAGTTGGAAGGCAGGGGATGGCGGGGTCTGTTATGTAACCAACTTCACAAGTGACTCATCATCATAAGCATAAGAGAGATAAGCAGGAACACCGAGGGACTCTCCAAGCCTCCTACTCTCGGCATCTATCTCTCATTTGTCCTCCTCCTTCTTTCTCCCGCTTGTGGTTTTTTTCTCCTTTTTGCTGCTCAGGACCAAAGTATTATGTTTCTCTTCCTTTCAGTGTTTCCTCTCACATTTTTCCTTCTTCCCAACTAATCTCTTCCCCTTCCTTCTTTCTTATCTAAACCCCTACATACCCTACACCTCCCTTCCTCTCTTGATTTTCGGCAACCTGCACGGGGTTTGGAATTTATATGCACATGTGTACCCACATGGTACAGCTGTGAAGTTTAAAGTGATTCAAAGAAAATCGCTGGCTGAGGAGACATATTGTAAACGCTCACTATGTTCTCTCACATTGTTTTGCAAGAGAGTGAATGAAAACCAAAATGTACATCCACCAAAGATCACAGCCACTTTATCGCGACAACAGCTAAATTAATCAGAAGATCAATTGATTTTGACTCTTTTCTTCAGGAAAATGAAAGCGGTATATTGTTTCATTATTTTACACATTCATCAAAAAATTAGCAGTAAATACAGTGCTTGTCACATAAAAAGAGTAGAGTAGCAATCATCCTCAAAGGTTAAGGCAGAAAAGCTTGTAATTAGACTCAGAGGTCTTGTTCAACTGTAATAACCTCAAAGTTGACTTGTAACATTAACATAAGTGCTGAATTTAGATCGTATCACAGCAGCAGAGGTGGGCAAAGTCTTTGGTTTGATATAATGGCTTAAAAGGCAGAGAAGTGTTTCACATAATCCTGTCAAATGTTAAAGTTAAGTGAGCCTTCCTTCCTCCTGCCTTCACCCTCGCAGCTTCCAGGACTGTAAATCATCTCTGAGGGGAAACTGCTGACTTCCATCTGAAGTTTCATGATTAAAGAATTTTTCAAAGTGTCGTTCCACTCACCTCCAGCCTTCACGTATTTCTTATCTAAATCTTCTCTGCATCCTCTTCATGGGAGCCCCATAATACTGCTGCCAACAAAAGCATGACTCCTCTTTCTTATGCATTCCTTCAGCACTGTGTCATAGTTCCCCCTCTCCTTTCTTGAGGCCAACGTGATGTCTTAGTGATTCAAATAAACACCCCTTTTCTCTCTCTCTGAAAACCAGAGTGCCTTCAGCCACCTACAAGTGATGCACCAAAGCGAAACAAACCGAGGAGAAGAGAACCCCCCCCGTATGCGTAAGAAGAAGAGGGGGAGTGCGACTCACCTGTAACAGGTGTCTGTGAGAGTCAGAGTGCCGGCTGGTCCGCCGAGAATTTACTCTGGAGGGGTAGGAGTGGCTGCGTGCAGCAGAGGGCAGCGGGAGGCGCTGCGGCTGACCCTGACCGCTGGAGCTGTGGGAGGCGCTGACGTTGGCGGGCGCCTGATAAAAGTTGCCGCTGCTGGCCGCGGGCTGTTTCCACTGGCTGGACAGAGGCAAAGCATTGGCGATGGGGGTCTTTGCCGGGACCTGAGGGACTCCGTAATGGGCTGCCCTGTTGGATGCGTCAGTGGCCTTGTCTGTGCCCCCGCTCCCAGCCTGATGATGCGATTCTACTGAGTCACCACCCTTGCGACTCTTTCCCTTTAGCAGCTTGGCAGCGGTGGAGTTTGGCTGAGGGAGGTAAATTTAAAAAAAAGGAAAGAAAGAATTACAGCTCAGGCACACGAAAATCCTCCCCAGCCCATTCCAACCTGTCAACTCGTGCTCCAGCAAAACACCTGCCTAAACACACCCACTTACAGTATCAGCGCTCTGCTCACCGCTACAACCTGTTGGACAGGCAGCCTGAACGATAACTACCGGCAAATAAGCCAAGAAGGCTTGACTGGTGCTGAGAAAGGAGGGACGGGCAGACAGGCAGACAGACAGGCACGGCAGGGTTAATGCTTTCACTCTGCAAAGTGATGTGCTGTTATGCCACCCAAGCAGAGAAAGCATTACTGTGTCTTCACGCCTGGCTGCACGGCACAAGGAGAGACGGGCTGAGGGAGGAGAGGAGGAAAGTGGAGGGATGGCGGAGAGACAGCAGAGGTAGAGACGGATAAAGAGCATCACTAAGGCGAAGCATTAGAGGAAGACATGGAAGGGGGAAAAAAAACAGGTGCAAGGGGAGGAGACGGCTAATAAGAGCAGAGGCTTCCAAACGCAGCATCAAAGTCACGACAAGTTAGAGAGGGGAATAAGAACCGTGCACAGCACCACCGCGACCTCATTGTAAGAACAAATACAATTCTACCCGGTACGGCTGAAGTTAATTCCTTGAGGCAGAAAGTACAGAGGGAAGCAAATGACAGCCAACTAGCTAAGCAAGCCTCGAAAACCTGAGTAAGCCACATAGTCACACGCTAATGAGCAGCTGCAGACACAGCAGGACTTCACAGACGAGCTTTCTGCCTCAGCGCTTTGCAGCACATGAGCGACTTTCACTGATGAATCAAAAGATTTGAATGAAAGTAAATATAGCATCCGGCCGGTGACCTGGAATCTACGGCATCCGGCCACTTCATCTCTGGTTTCGTTACAATAAACCGTTAGACCAAAGTTCTACAACAGAGAGGGTCAAAGAGCACATTCCATAAAAACAGCTAAGACAGGCAGAAATAAGTAAAGAGCTTACATCTATTAACTGTTGAGGGCAATATCCGACTTTTTCCCCAAGCCGGGCTTCAATCCAGTTGTCGTCCACTCGTCTGATGACGGCCAGAATGTCTCCCTGCGAAGCACTTCAAAAAGTTAGAAACACACAGAAAACACTGACAAAAATGGACATCAGATGCTTGGAAGTGAGAGAGCTTGCCCCGGAGGCTGAGCACTCAGCTCAAAAGCTCTCCGAGCCCCGGCTTTCTGCCAAAGCATGTGACACCGGCTCCCTTTGTGTCTACGGGCCCGCTGCTTTTTACGGCCAGCCTCTAAAAACCATTTGACCACCTGCATTAAAAAGAAAGGCGAGCTCAAGTACGCCTTAATGGAGAGCACACGAGAACCGAGGCCATTATATAACAACCCCAGAGATCCTTCGGGTACGTGACAGCCACTGCACAAGCCTAGGTTTTTGCTCTCTGAAAACTAGACAAAAGCCAATGTGCCCTTTTTCTCAGCTTTATTGGGAATTTCTCATTAACGACTACAGTTCTGCCTGGAAAAAGTCAATGCAAAGCAAGCGATGGCAAATGGCTGGTTGAGCCTCCACTCCAGTGTGTCGTTTCACAGTTATGGGCACATACAGCCTTACATGTTCATCTAACAAAGTGGCTATTTGAAATAGCATGGGGTTTAACTAACTATCTTCTTATCATATAATTGCCCAATTTTTTAAGAAAATTACTTTGTAAGTGCGTACAGTGTTATTAAGAATTCATTTCTTGTTACTAAGCTCAGGCTATGGAAGGTGCACACACTTAAGCTCTGGGGAGCTTGCAGAAATGTATAAATGTAAAAGCAGGAAATGAAAGGAAAAGGCAATGGAACTCTTTTAGGTGCGGTTTCACTCCTTAGTTTGACTTGGGCTCCCAAAATGTTGCATACCAGTGTCCAGAGTTGAGTTCCCATCCGCAACAACTGGATGATTGAACAGTTTTGGGAGCCATGCAGATGTAAAAGTGTAGTAGCAAAACCACCATTATAAATAAACCCTAGTGCAGCTAAATGGTGTAAAAATAGATTTCTGCTTTTTCCTTTCCTATAGGTGGACACCTGATGGGGTGTCTATCATAAAAATAGATTTTTCTTGTGTGCATATGGGAGTCTTGATTAAAGTGTAAGTGGTTATTTGCACAATGGGCCAGATGGGGGTCCAAGTTGCCATTTGACACACACAGAGGACTCATTGTGCACACACTAAGACGGGACACAGAGTGACAGACCTTGAGGAAGCTCAGACAATATTTATTGTCATCCAGATTCCCGTCTTCTGGGTTAAAGTCAGCCAGCGCCCTGCAGAGAGGCAGTGGCTGGGGCTGCTCGGGGGGCTGCTGCTGAGCCGTCTGGCCCCCAGCCTGCAGCGCTCCGGAGCCGTCCCCGGGGTCCTCATAGTGCCGGTCCTTGTCCACTGTTAGGTGTGGAGTGAGGCTGCTAGGGGGTGTGAGGGCCTGTTCCCCTGACCGATCTCCTCGCTGGCCATACATTGAGGCTCTATGGGCTGGCTGGAGGGCACATCACAGACAAGCGTTACATATTCGATTGACATTTAACATGATTGAGTTTCTGGGGCTGGTGAAACTATGTATGTTCTTCATTGAATGTCAAATATCAAAAATTTATGACAAACTACAGGCATTTCGTTGGTTTGATAATCTTATGAATAATAATAATAATAATAATAATAATAATAATAATAATAATAATAATATTAATAATAATAATAATAATAATAATAATAATAATAATAATAATAATAAGTAAAGAACCATGCTGGAAAAATACCAGAACTGTCACTGATGCAAATTCAAACTTTCTATGAATTACCTCCACTTCATGTTGTTAAACTTGAGTCTTACAGAATACTATTAATGACAAACTAAATTTGACCCTAATTCCTGCACAATCATCCACGTAAATGATTTCACATCTCCAGAGTAGACATGCAGACTTCCCCCGTGTTCCTCCCTGAGCTTTGAGCACTCGGACTGAACTCATGTAACAGATTTGGATTCAACTTTTCACCTCCCACAACCCTTTTTACGCAGTGCACTTTAAGAAAGTGGAGCCTCTGCCATCCCACTGAGGGATGAAACATCAGCGCCACAATCTTAAGTAGGGAGTGTTTAATATTAGGTGACAATAACACTTTTATTTGACACGTTTGAATACTGAATCATCTTCACTTCTATAGCTGTCTTAATGTTGTATGATATGATTCCTCTCTTTATCTTTAGGTTACCTTAATAGGTAGCAGGTCATGTTGGGATCAAAATATGCAAATACTCTACACAAAATTATAGGAACAGGAATTGTTAAAAGCAGCCTTTACCCTGGATTGTTGGTATTAAGCGTTTTAATAGAGTTCTCAGTGAGATCTTGTGTCTGAGGGCAGGGCTCAGGAGGATTGGGGGCTTTGCTAAGTTCTTTATCAGAGCCCAGCTCTGATTTAGCATTTGCATGTAGAACAATGACACGATGTGTGCACGTCTGAGGGAACGTTTCTTTGAGCTGACAAAAGCCTCGACTTACATGAGATAATTCAGATCGAGCCTCAAGTGCATGTGGGTCACGTTATCATTTAGACCTCTTATCAGGCAAATCGTTTTAAAACCACCACACAGCAGGACCTCCAGACTGTTAGTGAATTTTCAGTATAGTAGATATATACACTAATACTTTGCCTTCCAGTAAGAGGACAGCAGCTGACTGCAAAGTGGCTAGCACTATAATATTGCTCAATACTGTTTATAATGTGACTCAGCTCCATTTCAGATCAGTTTTGCTCATTTTGTATGTCAATCTTCACCGTTTAAAGCATTAACATAAAATCCTACATCTATACCAGAACACTGCTTTTCTTTTTTTACCCTGAAGTCATGTGTTGCATCCCATTAGCTGACATATTTTCCCAATAAGCCACACCTTTACGTTGCAACATAGTGAAAGTTTTTAGGACTTTCTATATCGGATACGTGTTTTGCTTCGACTCAAAAGAGTGCAGGTCACTTTAAGTTAGACATATCAACACAAAATATTCATAACCAAAGTGGGTCACATTGTAACTTCCCAAAGAAAAGCAGAGGACAGGGCCAGCCATGCACTGACCTCACTGTGCACTTGTTTCTCTCCGTGCTGACTCCCTTGCTGCTGTTCTCCTCTGACTCTCACGCTACCCCTGGTCAAGGGCACTGAATAGCGGGTTCTCTGTGCGTACCTGCTTTGCCCCTGGGGCCCCTGGAGCCCCTCCAGAAGCCGAACAAGCAGGATGTTTTCAGGGAGCTCCTCCACTGTCCTGGCTGGGACAGGCGCTCTGCACTCTGGGCAGAGCAGGTGGGAGTGGGCTGCCTCCTGCCTCTGGAGGCAGGACACACAGAAAGTGTGCTGGCAGGGCAGGACCTTAGCAGAGGCATCAAGCTTCTCCCAGCACAGGGGACATTCCAGCAGGGCCATTAGAGCCAGCTCCTCCATTTTGTCCACTTTAACAGGGCCACCGTTTTATGGGGAGGAGGGCCACTGGAACATATGAAATACTGTAATCCACCATGCTGAGAGGAAAAGTACAGTTAAAAATATAGTATGTCACAACCTTATGAGCAAAGTATGTAAACAAAGTATGTAAACATTCATATATATGTGTATATATATATATATATATATGTGTATATATATATATACATATATATATATAAATATATATATATGTTAATTTGTGCAGGAAACCATAACAGTGACTTTGTGCTGTTGGTTCAACACCTGGCCGCACAGGTAAGGCAGCCACAGGAAATATCTCGGGGACATACGCTATGGTTGCCTTACCTGCGCGGTGAGGCGCAGGTAAGGCCGAGAAACAATGTCAGACGGTTCCGTGACTACTTACACGCGTGCCTGCGGTTCCATAGGATGGTTTCCCACGGACTTTCTTGATTTTAGAAAGTGCGTCGGTGGTCCGTCGCGGTCGCCATGACGCGCTGTGTGGCCGTGAACGCAGCAGCGCGGCGGCAGAGGGGCGTGTGAGCTTCACTTCAGCTCGAACTTCTCAGCCCGTGCCGAAGTGTACTGTCGAGCCACCTGTGGAGGCTGTGTTTGACACAGACTGGCTTAAAGGTGTCGGCTGTGGCCGGACTCATTCATCAGGAACTGTGTCGGATTTCAGAGTCATGACGAACTCAGTTTAACCCCTTAACAGTTCGTCGGGTTCCATTTTACGACGCAAAAATGGACTCTGTCAAGACGTTATGAATAAAAACAAAGGTGGACGTTTGCGTAATTCCTTATTATTTTAGGTCTGGGTTGTTTATAAAGTTTAAAATTCTTTTGCTATAGTTTTATCCACAGATTTAGCACGTCTGGTAATAAATTGAGCTTTATTTATTTATGTACGTGGTCATGCCTGAGTACGCACATCATTACATATTTATTGGTAGAATCACTACTTATTACACTGACAGATGTGACGTGGTCTCCCCCTGCTGGTGCATTCATTTACCTGCTGTCTTGCTGTTTCCATCACCTTCACAGATCACATCAACCTCATTGGAAATCAAGGCAAAGCTTCACAAAAACCCAGTTATTTCTCACTGCCTGGCGTCTCTTGTTAACCCTTAACAAGTAAATGCCATTCTAGAGTAGACTTTTGCAATAATTGTTTCATCTGTTAGCTTTAATTGTTGTTTTGATTTCAGTTGCTCATCACAAACCCATGATTTCTAGCCTTGCATCCAAAGGTTGAATAATTTATCCCTAACCAGCTATGCACTGTAAGTTCAGGACATCAGTCTGAATTTTTAAAACAAACATGAATCTTTCATGTCTTTCTTCACGTCAGCAGAACTCTGGGATTTCTAAAAATGTACATATGGCTTTTACGGAGAGACAGAAACAGCTATGACTTATTCAAATGTTCACATCAACGCAGATTTGGGGCCCTCCTCCTGAGCCGGTCGCAGTGGCTCTGGCAGCAGAGGGGAGTATACGCAAAGCAAGATTTTAGCTTTGAAAGTATTTTCCCAGGCTGAAACTTAACCTCATCATGAGTGCAACTCGTTCATGTGTAGCTGACCGATCCTCCTCTCCCCTTTCCTTTCAAGAGGAGAGAAAGTGGTTGGTTTGCTGCTAAGAGGAAGTCAGCTCCTTAGTGCTCAACAGCAAAGGCTAACGGTCAGTCCGGCCATTACGTTACCGGGTGAGGAACCATGTTGGGTTCTTATATTCTGACCGTCCCCTGCAATGGGAAGGCTCTCTCATGGGACGTCTCTGAGCTGGCTATGCAGTGTCTCAGAATATCATGGCTTGCCACAAGTTTCTGTATACGGAGGAGTGCCTTCTTCTCCAGCTTTCATGTTTTATTTAAAGTGCTGTCTTACTGGGAGTGCTGCTAACTCGCTGAATGTGATCCGTCTCAGCACCGCCTCATCGTCCTCTTTCTGGCACTCTCTTTAGCCCCTCTGTCTACCGACTTATTTGATCCTTTGACAGTGTCATATTTGCAGATGTGCTTCAGTGTGCATGAGTTTGGGTAGTTTCATTTGAACAAGGTGCCAGTCAGAATGTGTAATCCTTCTGCGGCAGTTTGGCGAGGATTATCCACAAATGGAACGACACATTAGGTGTGTCAAAAGCACATAATTAACTTCTCCCTTTCTAATCCTCCGCCAAAAACGTAGTGGCAGTCATTTTCTGCAGTTCCCAGGTGACTCATTTACGTTGTTTTTCTTTCTTTCTCAAGGTGTATTGAGTAGTTTCAACTGAGACTGGCAGTGCTGGAGAAGAATGAGACACGTTTGGGGCAAAACACGGTACGCCAGTCAAACTGGTTCAGCCAGAACATCTGCAATTTTTTTGGCTAGCTGTGGATTCTGATGTGTGACACTGACAACTCGACTTGTATGCAGGTTATTTGTCCACATATACCATCTGACAGAGTCCAGTGGACAGCAGAGGGATGTGCAAACGGCCTACAGTGTGTTGTCACAGAGGGTACACTGACTCATTCATGCTCCCTCAAAGCCTGAGAGTGTAATTTAGTCCTAAAATATATGCAGAGCAGCAGGCAGTCCTCCATCAGATGTTTTTTTTAAACATCCATATAAAGCAACTTCACAATTTTTCCACCCACAGTTTGTTCTGCCTGGTCCTCTCCTGCCAGCAGATTGAATCCTGTAAATATTTCATATTTGATAAATAAATGAAAGAAGCTCTTTAGTTACTTCTGGGTAGCACACCAGGATGCTCCCCGACCAACGTATGCCGGAGCTTATTATCTCAGCTCTGACATTGTTTCAGTCAGAGTCTAAATGAGGTTCTGCTCAGGGACATTTTCATTTATTTTTCAAAAATGCACCAAATGCATCCATTCTCCTGACAGCAACAAAAATAGATGTTGTAAAAAAAAAAAAAACACTGCCACTCGCTGCTCACTCTGGAGCCGCTTAGTTGGATTTTGTTGGATTTTTTAGATTTCCACTCAATATCATACAATGTCATCCAGATCATTCCGCACCATAAAGTATTGGGACATGTCTGCGTTTTATCGGAAAACAGCTCATGTATTATGTGGTGTGTCTTAGTGGAGGATTCCAGAGTGAAATATGCTCCCTGCCTGTCATGAATGACCTATTTTGACTGCACTCTCCGGCTGTCTTGCCCCCTCCTATACATTACTCACATAGAGCGGACTCAGGCTATTTACAGCTAAATTTGTTGGGCTCAGGGCTGTTTGCTTTAGCAGCACTCTGCGTCATGTGACTTATGTTTGTGTTCATGTGAAAAAGGAGACTCATTGCCTCACTGTAAACTCAACCTGGGGGAAGCAGGCCAGAGGGTGGGGCTTGAGCTTCAAGCCAATGAGAGCCACAGCACCTGAGCTGGGCTGGTTTAAGCCTTGTTGTTGTGTGAAGATAGTGTGTCCAATGATTTTTTTGTTGTTGTTGTTGTTGTTAGTACAAAGCTCCAGCAGCTGTTTGAGCTGGAGATTAACATGAGAAAAAGCAAAAATAGAATGCACACACCTCTGAGCCAGCTGCCTTTTCGCTGCTCTGGGGCTGTCTTTGCATCCCCCCCTCCCTTTGTTTTCTGCCCTCTTGCTGTCCTCCTTCAACACCACCTTTCTCTCTATTTTCCTTTTTTTTTTAGTCCCTGAATCCGGCCTTTTGTGGCTGGCTAGTCCTGTGCTGGCATGAAAGAGCTGAAATTGGATACTGCTTGCCTTCACTGTAGTTCATTATTCAACTTTATAAAAGAAACTAGAACACTGTGGCTCATGACTTAAAGTCTCACGAAATCTCAATCCAACTTTGAAAGGCACAAAGCAATTTATATCCATCCTAGATAAATAGAAGGTTGTAAAATTTTAATCAACATAGGCATATGTGTTTCTGAAGATGATCCTGAAAAACCCAAGACATTTTTGCATTTCAAGTTTGGCAGGGCATCAAGCAGACCTCAATTCAGATGGATCTATTCCTGTTTAATGATGGAAAAGCTTCACCTCACATCAATCTGGGATGATTTTCATGTATATATTTTTTCCTAGTAAAACAAAAATATGCTGAGATTTTTTTCTAAAAAATCCAGGTTAATCAATCCATCAGTCTGACCAACCACTACCGATTATTGATGGAATAAAAAAGAAAAAATCAACTAAGCTTAATTAAATTGTTTGTTTACTGGATCTTTTGACTTAACGACTGATAAACTATTATTTCATGATCAATCAGCAGGTCTTCTATTTTCTGGGAACATTTCCCATCTGCTAGATGCTCAATTTACTGTGACCCAAAAAAACAGGAACCCCTCACATTAGAGACGTGCTGTGAGCTGATAAAAACAAAATTATTGCAGCTCTGCCATGCAAAGTTCTGGGCACCCTCATTTAATAATTGTGTTTTTGTGATCAGTAAAGAGAGATTAACCAGTGTCCCAAATATATGCCCGTTTACTATTTTTAATATGTTTTCATTATTTAAACTCTGAGTTCTCAAACCTTGGTCATGCAATATATTTTTTAAGTAACCATCTTGTACTCAAAATGAGTCAAATTCACGGATAGCCACAGTATTTTCAGGTAATGTGATGAAGGAATGGCAGAGTTGAGGTCAAGAGCAGGTCTGCATGACCTTCTGAGAGAATTTCTGGCCTGCCAAAAAAGCAAATCAAATCAGGATTATGCTGAAGTGAAGATTTATTTTTGTTTGCACTGAGCAGAGCTGTATTTGGAAACAATCTGTGCAGAATTCCATTAAAGCTCTCTCTTCTGTTGCAATCACTGGCACTGGGAAGGTTTTTCTGGTCGAGAGAAGAATGAACCGAAATAATATCAAAAAGTTCTGGCTGCTATCCTTGGCTGTGTTTCCGTCAAGTCCAAAAGTGAATTTGAATCAAGCCTTTCAATTCTTGCAACATAAAATCTGTTCAGCTTGTTTGTTGAGGTGGATAAACTAAGCTGTGGACTGTTGTCAGTAGGTGCTGGATATACTCCATTTGCATAGGTATTAAGGAAGTGGAAACAAACAAA